TGTGGTATGAGCTTTATGTAGGTGTGTGCCAGCGCATAAATAAATATCAAAGACTGTAGGTTGAGAACGGGGGAAATCCTGGGAACACTAAAAACTAAATGACAAAAACAGTTTATACTCCCACATGGCCCTCATGGCCCTCATTGCCCCCATGGCCCTCTTGTCATACGTGGTTAGATCGAAACAAAGTTAATTCCCTGATGCTGATGCTGGTGTATGGAAAGCAAACACACACCGATAATAATTACTCGAAACATTGTAATCCTCTTATCACCGAGATTTACACGCTGTAGGAAAGCATTTATCCAGCCACCATAATAGATTGTCATAAATTTCTGAGCCACAGACACACTCTGAAATTTAATTTTTTTTTCTCTCGTTTTTTTTACTTACAAATTTTCCACCCAAAACTTCGCCAAATATCTGAGTCGAGTCTGGGCCGAAGGATGTGAATTCTATTCTGAGAGAGATACAGGATCCTTGTGGGCACAACCGAAACACCTTGCGTTAGACACGTGTACACGCTGCCAAGTCCCCAAGAAGACTGGAGCAGAAGCCATACCGCGTTGGGGCATGGAGCTCTAACTTAGCCAGCGGGAAACTCACTCAACCAGCGGAGTTCGGCGCCAGCACGAAGTTGGCCAAAAAGTGAAAAATGCGGGGTAAGGCATTAACCAGAAAAGACTGTTGCGCGAAGGGGAAATACCGTGTTGCTGCCATGGGGTAAATGTCCCTGGCGAGTGCTAAAAGCCCGAGCAACAGTTTGTTGGCCATCTGGGTCATCCTTCATTCTTCAACCAGGCGCGCGTATCAATAGCCCAAAAATATTTACATACGCCGCGTGGCCCCCCTTTGTCACTTTGTCAATGTCAAACGTGGCTCGGTCGGGGGTGGTCTTTCATGGACTTTGTCGGGCTTTCAGGGTTTGCCGGGGGTGGCGCAACTAGTGGTTCTCATATTTCCACAGTAACAAATTTGTTTACGCTTAATTGGTCTACGCTTACATCGCATCAGGGTCGCACGCAACCACCACTCGTCCCTCTTGAACTAGCAGAAGCTCCCCACCACAAGTTGCACATTGTTTGCCCCAAAATGTATGCTAGCATTTCTTTGAACATCATGAATACAAAACTCGGATTACCTTAAGTGGAATTTCCTGTAACTGAAACAAAAGGATAAATGCTAACCAATGAAATATTAAAGGATCTCCATAAGGATTTCTGTTATTTAGTATTTTATAGTGAAATTGTAAAATGTTACAACTTTTAAAACATCTATAGATTTCTGTGGAAATGCAATAATATTTATATGATTTATTTTCCTAAGCTCCATTGAAAGACAGATGGAAACCAGGTCGGACAGTAAAAATGGTCCACAGAGATTTGTAAAACACATGCGTATGTCATATTCGACCAGGTGGGTGGGTGGAGGAGCTTGTTCGGGGGCATAAATCAGAATGGCAACCGCAGACAATGGCCGATGCCATTTGGCATTCACTAAACAGCACAAAAGGTGGGCATTTGTGTGCGTGGGTTAGCATCTCGACGGTGTCATAAAAAACAGTTTACACATGGGTTCTGGCCCATTTCGTTGGCCATTTTATAAGGCCACTGACGGTAATTCATTGAGCGCTGCACAAACCCATATAAATACGAGACATGTGATGGCGATGGCGATGGAGGTGACGGTGAAGGTGACGGTGATGGTGGCGGTGGCTCAGCTAAAAGTCAATTAATCTAATTGCAGGACACTTACGCACCGAAGGACTTCTGGCAGCGGCAAAGGCAATTGCAATGGCAAGCGCAAAGGAAGCTCAACCCCTCAACAGAAAGGTCAATCGAATCTAATTCGATGCAATTAAATTAAATCCCTAAATGCGACCTAATGAGGTCCACTTGAGCTGCGGTGGACGATTCCTCGGATATGCCGGATGTCCTGGATGTGCACTGGGTGCTAATTAAAAGCGCAGTCTGATTGATCATCTGCTGCAAACGTTGCAATGCCCTCCTTATGGCCCCCACTATGTGTGGATAATCAAGGGGATTTCATTATCGCAGCTCACACTTCACAAATCGAGACAAAATTATTTATAGGAAATGCTCAGTGTAATGGCAACCGGAAGATGGCAACAGGAAGGTGGCAGACGGTAGTAACAGTTCCTAACAAGCTGCCACACCCTCATCTCTGTGCGCACACAGGAAATCCAGGACCCCCAGGACCCGCAGGACACCTAGGACACACAGACCCCCAGGACATTTCGTCGTTCCGTCTTTATATTGGTGTGTGCTTAAAGATTTCTTGCATTAAAGCAAATTGTTGAGTTTTTTTTATACTCTCCCAAAGTTTGGTGACAGCCATCAGGATGTTTGTTTTATTTTCGGCGCTAAGTGGTTTTTTTTTTATAGTCCTTGCATCATTAATGAAATATATTTTACAGCTCAAAGATCTTAAGAATAAAGATCTAAGCAGGACAATAGATAATGCATGTACTTTATATGGTGGTACCTTTTAAATCCATTAAGATCCTTAAAAGTTGTTCTATTTTTAAAGTCCAAAAAAAAAGGGCTATATGAAATAGGTTTTATGGTCAATATTGTTTCCCCAACTTCAAGCAAAAGCCAAAAAGGGAAACACTTTTCGGGTATAGGCCGGGTGGCGTCCTCCGGTTGCAACTGGATGCTGTGAGTATTTGCCCATCCTCCGCACATAGACAAACTCATTACGAGAAATGAGCGTCCTGCGGCGCTCAAACAAAGCAAGGACCAAACCTGTAAACGGGCCCCCCGGCTATCCTTGTGTGTGCGTGTGTGTGTGTATGTGTTTGTGGGTATCCGGATTTGAGGAGGTGTGGGAGTGTGCGTGTTTATGCCAAAAATCATATACACCGCCCACATATCGATTTTGTTTGATGTTTAGGTAGGGCCCAGGACCGAGGACTACACACGGATATGGGTAGCGTCCTGGATAGTCCTGGCCCTTGGGCGCCCACCAACCAAACGAGGCAAAAACAAAGGCCTACACACCTCATCATTATTTCCGTTTGTGTACATTACAACGTCGCGCCGCGTATTTTAAATATTTAAAGAGCCAAAATGCCAAAAACTTTGAGCACACAATTCATTTTGTAACAGGGTGCCACAAACAGACTACAAAATTAGCCATAGACCTTTTAATTTCTTCAAAATGCTGATAAATATTTCCTAAATGAACCATTTTAACTATAAAATAACTTAATCAACTAAAGAACCAACAAAATTACCAGCCTGGTAACTCGCTCTGGATAAGAGATATTTTAATCCATTGGGCTGCCACTTACTGAATTTAATTACACTTTCCAGGTTATGCCAAAATAAGCTTTAAGCCATCTCTGTTTAACGACTGCGAAAATTGGGCTAAAAGTGCTTACACCCTGTTTTGTGGCATTTGGAGAGCCTCCCACTTTAAGCCAGTGTTTTGATACAGTTTTTTTACGAGCTGTTCGGTTAGCTTTGCTCCTCGCCCTGGTCCTCGTCCTGGTACTCGTCCTGGTCCTCGTCCTAGCAGTCGACGATTTTTTATGCCGAAACAATTGAGTTTGTTTGCCGAGTGAATCGCGTTCATTGTGGCGCTTGACCCGCTTATTGTCCTGCCAGTCGGGTCCTGATTGTTGGCCTTTGTGCCGGCCCTGGGAAATTATATTCGCGGCTGCCAGTTAATTAGCTGCCAGGGATCGCTGCCCATCTCGCGGGACTTCATCAAGCGGAAGCGACAGAGCCGGGAAAAAAAAAAAAAAAACTCAGGCAGATTCTTCAAATTACTTTTTAAAACAAAAAAAAAAATTGACAACGAGAGGACTAACCTTCACCGCCCACTTCAACACACACACACACACACACTCGCATGCAGAGTGTCCTGGCTCTCATGGCTTTGTGTCTGCTCACTTTTATTTCAAACGGCAATTGCATTGTGCTATTCCCAATCCGCTTATGGCTCCTGCCACGCCCCCCTGGACCATGGGCCGCCCCCTGCAGCTTCAGTAAACAATGCACTCAGGAGCAAACAAGAGCTACAGATTACTGGAAAAAAATTACTATTAAAGGACATTTTGTATAGAAACTAAATATGAGGATGATAGTCTTGGAATAATTTTCAGAATTAGAAAATATACTTAGGTCTATAATATTTTATTTGATTTCCAATCCCTATTTATTTTCTTTCAGTGTAAAATTCAGTCGCCTGTCCCTGGTAAGTGCTCTGCGTATGATAAAAGCTTGTGTCATATTTTCGTTTTGGTTGGATTTTTTCCTGCATTTTTTCGCATATTTATGTTGTTGTTGTTCTTGTCCAGTTTCCATGTGAAGAGTTGGTCTCCATCCTGGCTCCTCGCATAATGCCAGCTCTCGACGCTAACCAGGAGCACTTTCATTAGCTTACCGCTGCCGGACCTTCAGAGATCCCACACAGCCTCGAAGCAGTAGCTTCACCAGCTCCAGCTCCAGCCCCATGAAGGGTGGGTGCCACTTGGCTCCGCAACTTCCTCGGGGTAAAGCTCCATAGAACCCGCACCGATATGTTCTAAAAATCGGGGTAATTTCCCCACCAAAAAAGCTCGGACTAAAGCTCATGGAGATTATTTGGCCTTGGCATAGGAATTGACGCAGCATTCCCCCTGTGTAACGAACTCGAAAATTTTTTAAAAACTAATTAGTTACTAAGTACACAAAGAAGTCTGGAATTTGACATTCAAAAGCACACCTTTGAGTTTCTATTAAACTAATTATGCTTCTCTTTATTCATAATTTTACACATATATAATATTTTTGCATGTTCGTTGAAGTTTTTTTTTTTATGCTTTATACAATTGCCTTTAACAATATCGCATTTTTACAAATTTATATTCAGTTTTAAATATAAACAGAAAATAGCTCATAATTCATCGGTTTATCGGTTGTGATCGATCCATTGTGATAGATTGCAACGGAGGAGTCGTGTCTAGTCATAGGTAGTTAGTATGGGTCTTTTCTTCTAAACACTACGAGTATTGGTTGTTTTGGGCTGTAAGGCTGTCCACTGTAAAATAATAATACTTGGACACAGCTTCTTTTGCTTTTGCTTGCGGGGGGATCTTTAGTCTTAAACTATTAAAACACATCATATGTATATGCCAAGAATAAACAATCGTGTGATAGTTAACAGGTCCAAATTAGACTTAGCTTAGGGGTATATACTCTTAAATCGTACTAAGGCGTGTTACATGTTGGGCTTGAAACGACAACATTAACTGTTGTGTAATTAAAAATACCGAAAATTGAAAAAGGTTTTATCTCCATTTACAAAAAGTCATGTTAAGTGAAAAAATAAATAAAAGAGGGCAGCGAAAGTTAAATAATAACGCTAACAGATTAACATTAACGCAACGCGAACGCAAAGCCAACTAAACGGGTGGAACTTGATTACTCCGCATCCAGCACCGGATGCACGGGCTGCTGTGTCGATCTCTGCCGCTGGTGCTGCCCATGTTCGCGGTACGTCTTCAGCTTCGTCTCCATGGCCTGTAATATAAGATATTCGTATTAAAACTAAATAGTCCATCTGACAATTTCAATCCCTAAAGCCAGTATAATGTTTAAGAGACTTCTCCACTTGTAACTCAAAATTAAACCAAAAAACAAAAGACCGCAAAATAAGGTACAAATAAAATTTGTATTTATTAGCCAATGCAATTGATAAATGCAAGCGGTGAGAAAATAAAATAAACCTTAGGTTCTCGGGGCTAAGTCAAAGCGGCATGCCGGCGTCTGGAGAGTTGCGAATGCGTTCGGCAAAGCGTTTAAAAATGTTTGAGCCGGCACTTAGGCTGGCGAAGCTGCCGCCCATACTGCTCTCGCTGACGGGCGTGGTGGACGGTTGGGACTGGGTGGAGGAGGTGCCACTGTTGGCCACTGAGCTGCTGCTGCCGCCAAAGGCGCGACGAAATAGACTCGAATCGCTGTCCGATGGCGGCGGCGGCTGCGACGGACGCTCGCAAATGCAGCGAAACTTTTCGCACTCGGGGCACAGCAGGGCCTTATCCCACTAAAAAAAAACACATGGAAACGGAAAACAAATAAGCTGTGGGTGGCGTGTGTTGGATTAAGGATCAAGTTTAAGGTTATTGGAAACATTACAAATGAGGGAGGTACTCTATCATACTGGATTTAAAGTTTTAAAGGCTTGTAGTTGGAGGAGACTTACGTTTAGTTTTCTTAACATGTCGGCCACAACGTTGAGCGCATTTGAACGGTAGCTGGCATTCATGGAATTGCCATTGATTAGATTTCTGGGATCTGCAAGAGGAAGCACACAGACACAGCATGTTAGTTGAGGGGTTAGTCGGTATAACTACGAACTACAGACGCGTACAAAACACAACATTTTCCTACAAGAAATGTCGCAAATGCTCGTTACATTCCATTATGGATCTTAATTTTAATAATTTACAATACAATTACAAATGATAAGGGAACTTAAAATGAGGAACAATTTGTGTTTTGAATGCGAGAAACAAATAAAAACAAGAGGAACAATAAAAAAAAAAAAAATAATAAAAACTAAACACATGGCTTGAACTGGCGATGCGATTTTTGGAGTTTTAGCACACGTTTCGTTCTCTTAAGCGAGTTGATTATCTTACTTCTAAGCGAATGCTGCTGGTTATATTCGTTTCTATTAACTAAGGTGCCATTTAAGGTCCCCACGCTGGTGGAATTATTGACCACCATGTTGTCGTGATTCGTTAAATCGCCGTTGGCCACTATGCCATTGGGCAGCGAGGCGGACGAATTCATAGAGCTGTTAGTGGAGTTAGTGGCGGTGCCATTACAGGTGCCATTTGCCGCAGGTGTGTAACGTGACTTGACATTCAGCTCTTGCTTGAGATCTGTAAAAGTTTGAGGCACATTTAAGACTTCATAATTCGAAATAACTATGGGATTTTGACCCACCTCTCGTCTCATCCATCAGCCGCTGCAGCTTCTCCTGCAACACACCTTTTTCGTCTACTTCCAGCTCGAGAAGAGCATTCTTTTCGTACGCCACATCCAGCATCTTCTCAAAGTTCTCTATGCTTTCGTTGAGGATGCGATGTGCACGCTCCAGATCATCGTTCTTCTGTTCCAGCTGACGCAAATACACCTTCATGGAGTCGCGTTCCTTCTTTACGGCATCCAGTTGTTTTTCCATGTTTGACGTTTCAATGGCATGGGAGTCCATCTTTAGCTGTAATCATAATTCAACATAAGTAATGGACTACATTTGATATTTTATATTTCAGTTACCTTGAGTGACTCGTTTTCCCGCTCAAACTTTGTGAGCTTGGCAGTGAGATCTTTGATTATACTCTGCTTCTGGTCCAGAGTGGCGTCCATTTCAATTTCCATCTCTCGCGACTGCTCCACAAACTCATCATACTCCTGCTTTACGTCTGTCCACCTGTCAAACGAAACGAATACATATATATCAAGGGATTTCCTGTCTGTTTGAATAACTCACTCTTTGTGATATTGTTTTGAGCGCTCCTTCCAATATCGGCACTCATCCTCGACGCTGTTGAACATAGGTGGCGAGTCCATCTCTGTGATATTGTGTACTATACGGTGGTCAAACTGGGTTTGCAATTTCGTTCGTTCGAATGTAGTACTAACTTTTAATTTCTATTTAAATCTAGGTACTATTAACTGGTGCTCATGTATGGGGTATGGTTTTGTAGCTATTTAGTTTTTAATTGCTCTGATTAAAAATGCCAAAACACAGTTGTTTGAAGTTGAATGGTCTGTGGGGATAAAACGGAAATTGTGAAAAATCAATGGTGGAACAGGTGTTATCATAAATTGCCTGTTACTGACTGTTGCTTTTGTTGGCTTGCCATCGGGGATGTACTATATTGAAGGCAGGCTAAAATAAATGATTATATCCACGCCGCCCTTCAAAAATAACATAAACATTTTGTGCGTCGCTGTTGACGCAGCAGCTGCACCAACAACAACAACAAAAGAAACAGCAACAACAACCAACAAAGCTACGACGAAGTTTCTCATACAACAACGCATAGTGTGAAAATGAAATCATCGCTACTTTTCATACATTTCTTTATCAGAACTTGATGAATTTTCATTCGCCACGCCTTCTTCCGTTTTTTACTTACAGTTTGAACGTAATTTTCCTAATATTTATTTGGTTTATTTGTATAAAATCAGTGTAAATAATTATGCTCGAAAAAATTGACCACCACTCCAAACTGCACAAGCCAGCCCTGGTTTTAGTGTGCCAGTATTCGGAAAAATTATTGCGGTAGTTTCCATCCGAAGCCCTGGTTAGCGGTTGTTTTTGAAAAATATATTGTATTTAGTTTTCAATCCTTGTATATAATTTTGTTTGGAGTTTGCTTTCTTTTACGTTGCTTTCTGATAAATTCCAAATCAGTTTTAATTAGTGGGCGGCCTGTGAACGTAATGGATTTCTTTGCCGGCTCATCGTTACTGGATTCATTGGATATATGAAACTCTGAATCGGAACTATCGTCAATTATCTGAGCGGATTTAAGAGTAACGTCTCGGGCTGTACTCGGAATTTCAGGAGTTATCGAAGAATGATGGCCAAAACTTTGCATAGGCAAGGCCGGATAGTGGAACGTGGTATTACGAAAAGAGCTGCGACGCAATTTGCTGATCCGGCTTATTTCAATATCGCTGGAATCACTTGATTCGTTATGATAACTATTCAATAATTCCTCTGGTTCTTCTAATGTGGGATTAGGAGTTGGATCCGTGTCGTTATTATATTCGGACATTCTTATCAACCTTGCTGAATTGTTTTGGTTCCAAAATAAGAACTGGTTCACTTCATGTTTGGAACTAAATCCTTGACTTCTTTGTTTGAGTAGATATTTTCAAAAATAAAACTATTAATGGCTTTATTTATAATTGCAAGGTGGCTTCTGACATTCTTTTTTAAAAATATTTTCGGTGTAATTTTATTAAAATTAAATATCGAACAAAGAATTATATTATTCAGGTGGCATCTCTCTTCCAGGGGTGCCGGACTAGTTCAGTGCCACCCCCAACTTTAGTGCTGCCAGAGTAACAGCAAAAGTGTGGCCAAAACGCACCCACTGCAGTGCATTTTCAACAAAAATAAGGTAAAACATAGCATAAATATGGCCAACTAATGTTTAAACAATTAGCGTAATTAAGCTTAAGTTCAAAGCCGCAAAACAGTGAGTTTATACGGTGACCTGCTTGGGCGTTGCGGACGCAGCAGCCGAGAATTGATTAATTGCGGCGCATGCCGAAGAGGGAGGATATATTCAACAGCGAAACACAGAAAAAAAGAGACAAAAGTGTGTTAAACGAGGAAAACAAGCCTCGAAACAAAGAACAAATTATACAGAAGCGTGAAAATATGTGCCGCACCGTCTAAGCCGTGTCTTTTCCATACTTGTCTTGCAGTTGAAACATTTGCGTTGCAGCTGCAGCAAAAAAAAACAACAAAGGCGCAGGGCGAGACTAACGGGAGTTGAGGGCTACCCAGATAATTCAGAAAGAGAGCTAATCCCGGTCCAGATCAAGATCGCAATATAATCCAGCATGGCGGATCCCGAACGACAGAGCCTGCTCACCAAGGACGATGGAAATGGCTACAATTCGGTGGCTGCCGCCGGCGAGGAGGGTGCCGATAATCCAGGCGGTTCATCCTCGGCAGCCGTAAACAATGAGGACGGTGCGTATCATTATTATAAGTTTACCCCACAGCCGGGCATTCAACCCGGTATGCCGCCACCCGCATCCGAATGTCTGCGAAGTGCGGGTGGGCACTTGGAAACCCAACAAGTGAGCACTGCCGCTCTACTTATCTGCAACCGTGATTGGAAGTTGTCTGCATTACCATTACCATTACCAGTGCTTAGATTTTCACACTTCACCCAACTGAGTCACGGCCTCAACCGCAGAAGGGATATTGGAAAAAGGGGGCGTGGGTGGTGCTCCAGTAAGACAAAGCTTAATCCTCCCTATATAGTATAGTTTTTTCTATTATTTTATTCATTCTTTAATGTGTCACTTGTGAAAAAAATATGTTATTCACATTCCACGTAAAATATTTTATCGTTTATTTTGTCTCTATTTAGTAATATGATTCCCAGAGACAGACAAATATTCGAATTGCTATTGTTATTGTTTGTTGTTGTTATATGCCACCTAATCAGTACAAGTAGCGTTGCTGTTCAGCTTTTTAATCAGCATCGAATTGGGGTGCCCAGGGGGGTAGAGTACCCCACATGACTCATCGCCTGATTCTCGGCGTTATCGAAGCGCAGGGCGTAAAAGAAGGGACAGAAGGCCACTCACATTCATTGTTTGCGAAGGAACCTGATCTTCGGTTCTTCTGAGAGTCTCTACTCAATGCTGAATACTCTTCCCGAGTTTAAATGTAGGTTGTTGTAAAGTTTATTATTAAAATATGATTTGAAGCTGGTCAGTAACTTGAATTACTGAAGTGAATTAAAGTATTTTATATAACTGATAGTATCATCTCCTAAAGTGTATGCAATCTGCAATGTTCCTTTGTCTCTTCACAACGAAGACTTGTTTATGTTGATGTTCTCGTTGCACAAAGTTCGAACTTGTTTTGATCAACCGCGATATTGCACTGCGGTCTAGCTTGAGCTAGTTAAATGCCAAGACAGGAGAAATGCATTCATTCAGTCAAACATTGACCCATTTGGCATAATCTCGTCACTCCCCTATCTTCTGATGCAGTTCTCACTCTCGTTGCCAAGTAACTCGGCGGCTGTCTGGCCATGGGCTGCAGTGTGGTTGAAGGTTTTCCTCCGGCGAGATGTATTTATTTTACACTAAAGGTCCGAACTTCATTGGAAAATTCTTTCTATTGTTTATTGGTATGAAATTGCAGGCAGTGGAGCACCAACGGCCGTGCCGTGCATCGGACCCGATGAGCTGCCGCCGCCGTATCAGCAGAGCAGCAATACGGGAGGCGTACCAATGGTCACCTGTCGGGTATGTCAGCAGATGATTGACATTACCACGAAGCGGGAGCAGCACGTGGTCAAGTGCACCCACTGCAATGAGGCTACGGTAAGTAATGAGAGTAACCTAAATTCTAGAAATGAAAACAAATCTCTTCCGCAGCCAATTCGAAATGCCCCGCCGGGCAAGAAGTACGTACGTTGTCCGTGCAACTGTTTGCTTATCTGTAAGAGCTCCTCGCAGCGCATCGCCTGCCCACGGCCTAACTGCAAGCGGATCATTAACCTGGCTCCGAGTCCCGTTACCCCTCCCGTGCCCACTATGCCAGGAATGTGCCGGGTGACGTGCGGCCATTGTTCGGATACCTTTTTGGTAAATTACTGCAAGCTTTACTTTTATATAAAAAATTTAGAATATATTCCTTTATAGTTCAACACGTATCATAATGCTTTGGCCCGGTGTCCACACTGCAGGAAAGTTTCGTCGGTTGGATCTCGGTTTGCCAATAGCCGTGGAGGATTATTCGCCATCCTGGCACTGGTGTTCCTCGTCATTGGCATTGGCGTTACCATCGGCACAATCTCATATGCCTCGGTAAGGACTACGACCATAAGATTCTTATAAAATTTAATCTCAAATTCGGAATTCTTGTGTTACAGTCTCACGGTGGCATGTACTTCCTCTATGTGGCGCTGTTCGTGATCGCCGGTTGCTTGTTGGCCCGCTCCGCCTACTATTTCCGCCTTAAAGTGAGCGCCATAGACGGGCCTATGTAAAGCTAATGCTAGAACACGGGGCCAGCAGAAACGGAAGTGCATTGTTTTATTTTTATTTTTATACATATATATATATATTATGCATATATATCATTCCTTTTGATATTAAATGTAATCCGTAAACTAAAAATGTGCAGCCAATAGCAAAGGGAATCGATTTCTCCGCAAAAACAAAGATAGAATTTTTAATTTCAATTAAAACCACACATAGTTAAATTGTATCGAAAGGATGTCCCCGAATTAAAGTGATTTTGGAAAGCATAATTAAGACTTTAAGGCCGTAACTAAACTAAAACTAAAAACACAGTAAACAATATACTAAAGCAAATCTATTTCAAAAAAAAAACGAAGCAAAATATTAATGGTGTAAACATAAAGTGCTAAAATACAAGAAATTGAGAACTCTAGGCAGTCATTAGTTAGTAGACCAGCGACCGATCAAGCCACTTACTTGCACCACATTTGTAGAATCGCGATTTGTAGAATTCTTAGTTACTTTCTCTCATGTACAGTTGAGTTTTGATTAAGTGTCGTGTGTTTCTTTGTCCGTTTGTGCCTGTCCCGTAATTCTTTTGGTATTTATTCTCATGTATTCTCGTTTATAGGCTTTGAATTTTGCGTTGCCGCCTCTAAGAATTTATTAAAAATGCACTTTTATCAGTTCTCGCCAAAGCAACCGGCAAGCGTTATGTTCTTAGACATTAGAAAATAATTTCAAGGGTATGCTAATAGTGCTAATAAAGGTACACACACACACACATACGATATACCATGCATACATAATTATAATGATGAAAATAATAAAGAAACAATACAAAAGCAACATTTCTTGAAGAACAAAAAAAAAAAGCAAAGCTCATGCAGCCACAAAAAATTTAGACAGCAACTGCTAAACTGCGAAATTATATATAATATATATATTTGATTAAAAGGAAATGGTTTACTTTTGAAAATTATATATATATATATATACAACATTTATATTTAGTACATTATAAATTAGCATACATACACTGTAAATAAAATGAAATAAAACCACACCAATCGAGTTTTGCTGCCAAAAAAATAATGAAAACCTGAGAGAGCCTTGATCTTGTTGGTCATTCTATTGGTTTTCATAATTTTTGTATCGGAAATCCAGGATGTCATCCTTGTCGCCTTGTTTCAGCGTGGGATCCTTGGTGAGGTGCAAGACCTGTTTCGGCGACAACATTAAAGGAGAGGTGCATTATTTTATTTTTTAATAAATTTACATATTTTCTATCCAAGTATATATTTAGGTATTGGCATTTGATTTGGGAATAAAAATGCTAATCTTAAAGTGTCCAGCCAGCAAGGGATTTGGAGATCAGCAGAGGATTTTCAATCGAACCATAGTGAACCTATCCTTGTGCAGGGATATTGAAATTGTCCAGGAAATGATATCGAAAGAGATAATGTTACCACCAGATCCACTTAATCTTCATTGGGTATGTAATTTCATAAATTTGATTTAAGAAAACCAAAATTAATACAATTAATTTTTAAAGATCCAGGAGCGTTTGAGCCGGGCCATAGCTATTAGAGCCGCTATCTGTAGAAGCTATCACCCGAAGGCCACTCCATTGGCCCAGGCGCTGTTTCGCAAAATGGTCCAGCACTTCGGGGATGGAAGAGTCAACTGGATTGAGCGCCGGGACAGCGTTTCTATACAGGTGATGCGGCAGGTGGTTATTGGAGCACCCTATCGAGTGGAGAACATCTTTTGCACCATCTCACCCATACCGCAGCTTCTGTTGGGGATACGTCAGATCGTCCAGAGCTTGAACCACCATCATAAAAAATAAAAACAAACGCCTGCGCCATAGCAACAGATCTCTATAGTATTTGTTTATCAACAAAACACAAACTGAAATATATTTAAACTCATACATAAACAAAAAAAAAGCCCCCGACTCCCACATGGAATACTTTTCTTTATCTGCCTAGAACACAATTATCAGTTGTATACAAACATTATTTATTTACTGCCGATTATCCAACATTATAAAGAATCACAATGGCGGATGATGATGATAAACCCAAGAAGCATACGTTGGATACGCTATTCATGGTGTATGCCAACTACCAGGTATGATTAACCTCGGGAATTGTGTTTGCCAAGACGCTTAATCATGATACGACGTTAGGTTATACCCACGGAGATCGAGAACGAGATGTTCGACAGCATACTGCTCTCCCAACTGGACGCCTGGCTGGAGCAGGCCAAGCTAATGCCGAATCCCATAACTCGCACCCAAACCGGTCTCATCTATATGAAGTATAAGTAAGTAGGACACTATACCAGGTAACATGGTTAGACTTGGTACATGGTTATTCCTCAGGAAGTGGCGGATGGAGTTCGAAGACTTCCTGGAGGTTATTCAACAATTGAGTGCCGATAATGGGATTCCTCTGGATGAATTCAAGCAGACAATGATCGATGCGGGGATCCCAAGTGGTGCTGCCGATATGGTTATTGTCAAATAGCTCCATTGGTGCTTCATTTTATTTCATTTATTTACATAAAAAGTAGGCATACAACAATTAAATTTAAGTAACAATTACAGATAAATAATTTTGATTAGTTTCCAAATATTTGTGGTCAACAAAAGCCTCTAACCCCATCCGGTTTAGTTATCTTTAAAACAACGCATATATAGTAATAGAAAAGCAATAATTAGACACTGAGATTACAAAGTAAAAAGGGAAAAATAAGTTAATTCGAAATATGCACTGATATTGGCTTAAAGCTTAATGATTAATGATTATTCGATGAGTAACTGGTTCTGTGTTCGTATAGTTTTTCCCTGACTTTGGTTGATCGTTTTCTGGTTGACTGATAAGTTTTAGCACCTGAACAAATACCCAGAGGTATAACATTTGGCATTTACAAAAATATATAATCGATTTGCATTCAGAAATATATGTATATATATGCAGCTATGGACATAAAATTTAATATTATATGTGGCTGATGTTTGTTCGAGTTTCTCGTCAGGTAATAATGCACATTTCAGTTTGTACTGGCAAAAAATTCCGGCTCTTGGCGAGGGGTATAGAGCCGATCATATCCATGCTCTTAGTCATCCCTCCAGAACCGCTGTAGTGGATATAGCGTATAATGTATATATATTGTTTGAGTGAAAATTGTGTATGCGTCCGCATTTTATATCATTCCGTTTATCGTGCCATTCCCAAGGCCCCTCTAATTTCGCCACATGATGTTGGTGTTCCGGGTCTCGTTACGAATAAACGATAAGATTCTCTTTTGTTGTGGTTTCAGTGAGTGCTCCTCCTGACCGTCATGGCTCTCCGTGCTCCCCTGATCAAAAGCACATTTAGATTAAGTATACGTGGCACTTAGGATTAGATTAGTATCAATTGATGGTGACTTATGACTTAAGAATAGATGGTACGCTCCAGCCAGTCGTCCAGATTGAAGAAGGCTGTGTCCGAGTTGTCCGTGTCCCGCTCGCGGAACATCTCGATGAATGTTCTCACCTTGATGGCGCACATCAAGAAATCGTCAAATGGAATCTGTCCCTCACGTGATCCGTACCGGTGGGCCAAGGCATTCAGCAGGCGGTTGTTCAGATGATAGCCAGCTGAATTCAGAGCGCCCCGGAGATGGAAGCCATCGATGCTGCCTGTGCGGCGTGTATCGTACAGCTTGAACACGGCTCGCCACTTGGCGATGTCCGTGAGCAGAGCCTCGAATTCCTCGAAGCCCAAGCGTCCGGACCGGTCCTTGTCCAACATGGCCACCATGGAGCGCACGGCATCCTTGGAGAAGCCCTCGTTGCCCACCATTACATCGCGCATTGAGTGGTCCAGGATGCGTTTCAGCTCCTGCCAGTCAACCTCCTCATCGCTGCCGGCCACGCTGTCGAAGAGCCTCTTCAGAGCTATCCTCTGCGGATCGTCCTCTTCCTTCGGAGTCGGCGGCGGCAGGGACGGGGCAATACGGTCATCGGTCTCGCCAAAGCCCACCTCGTCGTCGTTCTCCTCCATGTTGTTCATTGTCTCCGAGAAGACACGAATGATAAACTCACCCTCCTCGTTGGGGTCAAAGGTCGAGGGCACAATCAAATAATTCCCGGGAGGTAACTTGAATCTGGCGCACACCTCTCGAGTGTTGATGAAATGCGGCGAACGTGCCACGGATGCCCTGTACTTGAAGAAGTTCAATCCCTGTGGCTTAACCTGCATATCCCTATCCGTGAGATGGTAAATGGCAAAGCCAATGGTTAGGCAATCTATGCCCACATTTCGCTTGCTCCTCCGGTTCTTCTGCATCAAGGCCACAATGACGGTGCACTTGCCGTCGTCATCCTCGTCGTCGGGATCCTCGAGCGAGATGATGTATTGGGGATTGTGCCAGAAGGTCTCCAGGAAGTTACGGCAACCGCCAGCTGTTACGCCCGAAGACCATTCTCCCTCGAACATGGACATTTCCCACTTACGGCGTGAATTATGCTGCTGATCTTCGGTCAGCGAATCCGGCGACAGATTGCATATCTCCACACGATCGAAGTGGTTGAGAAAATCTTGGAAGGACATCCAGAACTCACCATCCCTATCAAAGTTCAAGCCGATCTCCTCCTTTGTATGTTCGGGAATGAAACGCCACTCTGGCGAACTATCGCTCCAAGGACCGCTCCATTCGGCGTCGTTACCCCAAGGATTGCGCATTCGGATCATGGGCATCTTGCCCTGACGATTCGGAGTCGAGATGTCCATCAGGCAAACCTTGGTGATGGAATAGGCATGTCCACGAATAAGACCTTCGCGTGTCTCAGCCTCCAAAACATGGGGATCGGGCTCCAGAGAGCAGCCCATCATAGAGCCGCGCTCGGCAGCCTTCATCATAATGCTGAATAGATTTGGAGGAGCCTCCTTAATGTCGTACCACTCGGTCACACCACCAGTAAAGTCCTCCATGGCCTCGCAAGTGGTGCCGCCTATAAAGATAATGAGGATAGGGTTTAGTTATTAATATTCAATATCCTTTATCCTTACCTTTGAGGGCTTCATAGGAACCGTGAAGCTTGGCATATGCTTTCTCGAGTAAGGCACTCCAGAACTCATTTTTCTCCGTCGAATGCATATAGATGAGCTCTCCATGAACCGTGGGCAAGCGATCGTCGATGACCACCTCCACCCATTTGCCATATTGCCAGAACTTGAAATGAAAGATTCCAGCGTAATTCTCCTGGAAGTCCTGATCTGGAGGGATTACTCGGAAGAAGAGCTTCGAATCCTGAGTAAGATTGGCAGCCGCAGCGAGCAACCAACAGTCACCCAGCTCTCCCTGCTGGACGTCGAACCGCGAGTAACCTTCCACAAAGAATTGTGGATCGTCTACGATGTCTGCAGGTCGCAGCCATTCGATATAGCGATCTGGTCGCCGAGAGAACATAAGCGATGAATCGTTGGCCGGGAAATCGGGATCCTCGAACAGGGTTCCATTGCCAACACAGGCTTCACGGAGTGTGTGGAAATCGCCCCCATGAACGCTAGTTTGACGGTTGCTGGTAGCTTTCCGACCCATCCAGAACATGTTTTGATTCTCAGGCACTTTCACGCTTGTAAAGCTTAATTCCGCAACACCCACGGATGGTTCCTCCTCCTGAGTTGGGGCACTAGCCGGTGCTGGTGCCGACGGATAGGGCAACTGCGGAAAACCTCCTCCCTGCTGGGGGGCAGGGCTAGTGGGCATGGGTGAGTATGGCATCGGCATGCTGGGGAAACCAGGCATGGCATTCGGATAGGGCGCCAGTGGTGCAGCTGGGTAGGGCAGATTCGGCTGGGGCATTCCAGTTGGATAGGGCACCCCGGTAGGGTACGGTGCCAGAGGAGCAGCCGGGTATGGCAAAGATGAACTGGCTGATGGCAAAGTCGGATACAGACCAGATCCAGGATACGGCGAGGCGTTCGGATATCCTCCAGCACTTGGATACGGGGCAGCACTGGCATACGGAGCCGAAGGGGCATAGGGAGCCGAGGGGGCAGATGGGGCTGCTCCGGAGTATGAGGCATTCTGTGCGTGTGTCGTTTGCTTCACCACATATGGCATGCCACCCACGGACTCCGATGACGGATAGGGTAGAGATGGATAAAGCCCCGCCTTCGGCTTAGGGTTCTCAGCACTCGCGCCGTTACTTCCTCCAGCGATTTCGTTCTGGCTGTAGCCCAAGGCCGCCAAATTGACAAGGCCAATGCCACTGGCATGATAATTTTTGGGGTAATTATCAATGCCGTACATTTTTAATCGGCTTTTAGTTGGGGTCTGCGCTGGGTTATTCCGATTTTATGGATAAATGGCGTTGCACACGGGAAAAACTAAAAAACTAGACGTATCCAGATGTAAAACAACTCGCTGTCGTGCTGAAACTGCTGACTCGCTGGGGGAATAGTACGTCTTAAATGGGAGAGGTATCCAAATTTAACTTTCTCGGTAAATGATTCATAATCTGTTAACCCTTGTGTGCTCGGAAAGATCTGTTTATATGGGCTAAGTAAAATATACCTTAAATTTTATACAATTTTATGTATTTCACATTCTAAATGTCCTATTAAACATATTTTTTTAAAAATTTTTTTTAGGTTTCTAAAAAGTTATAATTTATAGATTTTATTATACATAATTTTTTGCGCCACTAGGAGCAAAATAAAATCTATTAATTAGAAGATTTTTAGAGAACTAAGCTTCTTAACAGAACAGTTTTTTTTCTTCTTATAATGATTAGACTATATGCTAATGTCGGAGCTTAAATTATATTTTTATTTATGGTACAACGAAAACCCAAATATCATACAGAAGGTTAAACATGGCATTCAGGGCTGAATAACGTGCATAGGGTTGGCACGTCATGTAAGACCTTTGGTATTTTTTAGATCATTACCTGATCTAAAACTAATAAAAACTTTAAAAATGATTTTTTTGATACGAACTGAATATATAAATTAAATCACCTTGAATGTCGAGAAGAAATTTAAATAGAAAACTAAGAACAATTTTTTAACCAGCACTCCAAGAACCTCTTTTCCTGATTCAAAATATTGTGTAAATATCGTTTCGAAATTTTTGGAATTTTTATAAAGGGCACCCCTATGAAATTCTGCGATTTCCTGTTTTCCACATTTTTCCTCCTTCCGATGTGCATATCTCTGCCAATTTGTATCCGATCGGAAAATAAAGTACCATTTTGTAACCAGCGCTCCGAGAACCTATTTTCCTGATTCAAAATATTTCTCTTATGTCGTTTTGAAATTTCTCAAATTTTTTTAAGTATCCATATTTTTTATATCATATATTAAAATCAATACCAATGCTTATAATATGTTTATTTATTATTACAAGTTTCCGATCTTTGATTAAATATTACAATTTTTAAATATTTTCGCTTAACTAAGTAGCATGTATTTCATTTTTTCTCCCCCAAAAGTGATCAGAAAGTTCTCAATAAACGTCAAAATTAAAAAACAGCTCAGTTCAAATTCGTCGTCTAACGGGATACTATTTTGTGAAATAAAAAAAAAATTTGAAAAATTAAAAAAGTGTCTGCGATGGCCGAGGAGGTAGAAGTGGAGGAGACTGAGGACTTCCATGACCTGGACGAGTTCAATGACGACGAGGCAGCCGCCAGTCTTGTCAGAGAGGAACGATTCACAGTCAAGAAGTGGGTGGCCCATGCATTGTGGTCATGGGATGTCGCTGTCGATAATTGCGCCATTTGCCGGAATCATATTATGAACCTGTGCATCGAGTGCCAGGCGGATCCGAATGCCAACAAGGATGAGTGCACAGTGGCATGGGGCGAGTGCAACCATGCCTTCCACTACCATTGTATCGCCCGTTGGCTGAAAACTCGTCTCGTCTGCCCGCTGGATAATAAGGAGTGGGTGTACCAGAAGTACGGCCACTAGGCAAGGACTCTTCTTGGATCTAATCTGCCTACAGTACATTTGGAATAACATGTTATATTTTGAATATAGTCTAAATTATAAGTTACAAGATTGGTTGGTTGTTAACCGCATTAGGCTGACTGTTCGGGAATAATCGGAGTTGGCCGTACCCCAGTTATCTGTTCGATCTGTTTGTAAAGAGTCTCACTTTCTTCCACCAGGCTAGAGTACTTTCTCTGCAGCTCCTTCTCCCTATCCATCTGGCGGCGTACATCTTCCTGCAGTGACTCCAGACGACGTGGCACAGCAATGGCCTCTTGTTCGCCCAGAAAGCGGAATGTCGACAGCGAAACCGAATTCTGCTCGATCTGGGCGTAAGTGTCCTGTAGCTGCTTTGTGAGGACCTGAGCTCGTGCCTGGTAGCCGCCGGTTAGGATTTTAAGCTTTTTCTCGATCTTGCCGCAGCGCTTGGCCTCCTTAGCCATGTGCCGGCGGTTCTGCTCCAATCTCTTCTCAGCCGACTCCAGTCGGTCCTTCTTACTGGCCAGGTTGGCGCGAGTGTAGCGATGCTGTGATGGCAAGTACAGCACTTGGCCCAAACATTCCTGCCACACCTGGGCGTAGACATCTAGGGGAAGTTCCCCGTGACCCATGCGCTCTTTCACGACCTCCATCTCGTCGGCCAACATCTGCTTGGCAACCGCCAGCTCGGCCTTTGTGATTTCCTCGTAGGGATTCGCTTTAAAGTAGCTCTGGAGCTGCTCGAGCTTTTGTTGGGATTGGCCGGGCACCGGGTCTTTAACAGAATCGTAAACTGTGGAGAAGGAAAGCGGAAAATGAGTTTATACGCCTACCTATCTATTTTAAAACTTACGCTGCATGGTGATCATTTCATGCTTTATTAGCTCCTCTGCCTGTTGCTGCTCTGAAAGGTTCTGTTTCTCTGATTGGGGTCGCAGGATCTTTGTGTTGACCTCCGTGGGGCGGGGTAGACTGCGTTGGATAACCTGGGACCGTTTCTCAAGCTCGATTTTCCTGCGCGCTTCTTGGTCTGCCAGGATTCTTGCATCAACATCAGCCTGATCCTCTACAGCGGGCTCTGAACTAGCATCCATTGGCTCGTTGTCTTCTTGTTCTGGGACAACGATTTCGTAGTCGTTCCTGGGAGCGGGCAGAGTAGAAAGTCCCTCTCGTAACGACGACTTTAGCTGCTTCTGATAGTTCTTGTACATGGCGGGAGTTTCCGTCACTGCCATACTATTCTCCGGGTTAATACTGAGCTTATCCCTTACAAAAGCGGGCGTGTTAGTTACAGCGCCGCCAGATCCCTCTTTGGCAGGAACCAGAGCCCCAGTGCTTGGTGTGAGAAAACCCCCAGGAGTGGCTCCTCCTCCACCCTCCCGTTGTGTTCTAAACGGCGTGGCAATCACTGTGTTTGGTGTAGCAATGGCAGCACCTTTTGGCAAAACCCCAGAGAAATCCGACTCATGAAGAGGCGTGTTCAAGCCCCCCTTTAGTGGGGTCTCGGTGTGGGTGAGTGCCATCAGATTTTGGGCCTCTTGCATAATGCGATCTGTATACGGAGCTGGTGTCCGCGGAGTAGCGGCCACTTGTGGAGTAATTGAGTAATCTGCCAGCAAAGAATCTGTCATCTCAATGCCACTCTCGCCGGCTATCTCCTTGGCAACTTCGCTGGCCCGACCCAGCTTCACGACTTGCTGCAATTCCAAATCTGAAATCTGCGGCGTCGGTAAAACCAGCTTGGAGCGTTTTCGCTCCGGCTCCATATTCTGCAGCATGGCTGCCGGTACTTCGTTTTCCTTGCGCTGCTTAAGCTTTTGCTTGTCGCGCTTCCGCTCACGCTCCTCCTTTTCGGAGCGCAGTTCGCCATCCAAATCTTGTTGCCTCATTTTGTTAAAGTCTGGCTCGTTCTTCTGCAAGTGCTCTTCGGCAGTGTCATAGAAACCGAGTGCAGGACGCTTCTCAAAGGGTATCTCGGCATTGTAATCGATTCCTTTGATGCGCTTCCGATTTCCACTTCCAATACCCGCTGCACGCAATTCTCGTCTCTTTTGCAGTGTCGCCAGGCGGCGGGCTTCCTCCAACTGCTTCTCACGCGCCTTTCGTTTGGCTTTCTTGCCCTGGGTGTTGGCCAGACGGGCTCTGGCTTCTGAAAGCATTTCCAACTCGTCCTCGTCCATGTCCTTGGGATCGGGTCGAGCGGGTTTTGTCTCCGGGTTGGGATCGATCTCTCCCGGCTTGAGCTTTCGCGGGTCGTCCATTGCGTCTTCGCCATCTTCTTTGCGTTGGGCTTGGTCCCTATATATAAAATCAGAAGATTATAACGATTTAAGAGAAGAATATGGGTTAGACTTACAGCAAATGTTCGTAGCGTTCGAGACACTGTGCAGCTGTGCGGCCAATGATCGGGGCAATGGTGCGCCACTGGGTGGGCATTAATTTTGCCAAATGGAGCAGCTTCTCGTCCTCCTCCCGCGACCACTCCGTCTTTTTGATGCTCGGGTCCAGCCATTCGTACCAGCGGGCCTTGCACTGCTTCGCGGACTTTCTGTGTAGCAATGATGCGATTCGGCTCCATTGGTTTTTGCCATATTTCATCACAGCCGCCTTGAGGATCTCATCCTGTAATGAAAAGCGTTTGCCGGTGTCGGTGATGCAAATTATGGAAATCGTAGATATACTTACTTCCGTGTTGCGCCACACACCACCCTTGATCATTATTCTCGGCATTTTGAGGTAACGAGTTGGCGGCGGGTTATAATATCAATAAAGTCGTCAAATAAATTAAAATATTGTCCAAGAAAATTCACTGAAAACGCTATGTCCACATGCGATTAGAGATGCCGAGAAAAAGTATAGTGTGACCAACAGTGTGTCGAGACTTAAACATGAGCCGGTTCAAAATATACCAAAATAAGACATATTATTAAGTTACTATCTAATCTATAAATATAAATTGTACAAATTGTAATTGAACCTAAAACCAACATAAACAAATTTTATTAAGCGAAATATATTTATTTCTTATATTTAAAATACAAGGATCTAAATATTAGACCGTTCCATTCTCATTTGTTTCTAACGCTTCGGTATTTTTTACCCAAGAGTGGCCATCATCTGATTTCATAGGATGGAATAACAATGCTGCCCAGTGCAAACAATAAATAATTGGTGGCCCTGTTTTTGTCCGAGTAATGTAAATATTGTAATGCGGAATTAGACGTCTCGCTTCGGAAGCGGAATCCCAGAACCCGCAACTGACACCCAGCACTCGGCAACTCCCGGAAAATGAATGATGCGGCGTACAGCGGTTTCCATACACAGGTGAGCAAGCTGGAAGTTCGTTTGGCCCCAAAACCATGCCGTTGTCTTCCAGCTGCACTTTCCGAATCCCTCGGACCTGTCGCTCTCCACTCCGGTCCACACTTTGGAGCCGGATTCCACCTTTGGCGGGTTCTTTGACGACGAGTTTTCCCAAGCTCCCGCTGTGTGGATCCCAGATGGAGGTGGACTGCAGCTTAAAGCCATTGAAGCGGAGGAACCGCCCGTTTCGAACCAATCGCCAACGATTCCCTTCGTCCAGATCCATACCACTGATCTGCAGCAGCCAGAGAAAAGCTACCGGAACACCTTTCGGCGACGCACCGCCGAAATTAAGTCCGAGGCGGAGCTGATCAAATCAGAGCTGGCGGAAGCTGCGGCTAAGGAGAGATTAAATGCCACCCCGACTCCTCCCACCAGAAACTCCAGTTGTCCGAGTGTGGAGGGGAAAGGGCAAGTGGTGTCGGATGGTCCCACCGTGCTGCTAAGATGTCCTAATTGTCCCTTTCTAAGCATCTGCCAGGTGAGGTTCCAGGAACACTTGAATGTGGGGAACTGCTTCCAAACTAGCGAGCAACAGCGGAGAGAGTGTCCAGGTAAGGACTATTCCGTTTTCATTATCAAGACTCGGCTCTTAAGTATTTCGTATCCTTATAGGCTGTCCAAACATCTTCTACAGCAATGATGCCCTTAACATGCACCTGTCCCTGGATCACCAAGTGGAGCAGGCTGATATCATGGCCGTTCGCAATTCCAGCAAAGTTCCCGCTGTAAACCAGGATCAGATGCCTCATCAAATACCAATCGGTACCCAAAACCACAACCAATCTCAGAACACCAACGCACCCAAGAGCCGCATTTTTATTAAAAGCGTGGAGTGCTTGCGGGAGCCTCAAAAAGATGCGAATTCAGTCAAAGACTATCCCCTTCTAATGTCCGACAGTGAGTCGACAGGAGACATCTTAGACCTGCTAGAGGAAGTGGTTGAGAATGATGAGCCCAACGATAAAACGACACCACCGCCGCCCAAGTCAAGTCAGAAAATTTCCATTAAGAGCGTAGACGTACTGCGCGAGCCCGTCTTGCTTCCGTTTGACTGCCACCTTCCCAATAATCAGCTTATGATGGACAACAGCTTGTTGGACGTACCGGACGTTAGAGTCGGTCCCGAAGACGACAAATTAAGACAACCTAAGATCTACATTCGTAAGCCAATGGTGTCTTCCTCGATGCCAATGGGTTTAAATGTGGGTGTGGATTCCGCCGATGCTGGATTATCTGGAGCTGTTTACACCGATGTCTATCAGGGAGATGCTATGCTTACGCCTACATGTCCTCCATTAGGATACGAACCTAGCCTTGCCCCACTTGCCCAAATGTGCTCCGATGCCTTTTCTTTTGATTCCGTTCTGAATAGCAATGGAGGTGCCTCTTCCGGCCTGGATAACACGCGTTTTAGCGCCTTGGATCTTGACTTTGGCGTTGATTTTGTTTCAGAAGCCAATAACGAAACTCTTAACACTGCTGCATCTGTCCTACCGCCGTTGGAGCAACAGCCTGTCCATCTGGAACATTTTCTCTCCACCAATACCCCCAGTGCGCCCAAGCAGAAGATTTTCATCAAGAACGTTGACATTCTAAAGGCTCCCCAGAGGGGGACTCTGCATTTGCGAACCGTGGACGAACTGAACCTGATGAACCGCAACGAGGTGGAGCGCTTGATAGTACCGAACCTGGAGCCCATGACCATGTCGATGATGGAGCTACCGCCCATTCAGCACCCACCGCTGGCGTTAGAGCCACATCCTAACCCGCTGCCGGAACTGCCGCCTTCGGTCAATGGCAACTGGCCCAACGAGGATGGCTACAACCTGAGCCAAGATATAGAGTGCTGGCCCTGGATGGAAGAAGCACTGCCAGAGGCAGGCATTGCCTTAGCTGCTCCTACCGAGTCTTCAGATGCCCTCCAAATTGAAAGCTTGAGTGAGGCTGCCAGCAACTTGCTGGTGAAAGACTTTCCCCAAATCCAACAAACTACTTCCGAGGAGACTGCGAATCCAACAGAAGAACCGGAAATGCAACCTCTGGTCCCTGTTAAAGTTCCTGTACCCACCACAAGCACACTTCTCAATACGACTCATAATCCTTTGCCCGTTCCACCATTGGTTCCTCTGATACCCGAAGCACCAAATCTATCTGAGAAGCAGGGACGCATCTACGTGGCCAATAACCTCCTACCGGCTGCAGTGGAGCCTCCGTTGTCGGGAGGAACTTCTGTGAGGGGACGGCCCTACGGGGCTAAGCATTCCGGCGGTACTACACATAGGAGGAAAGCACCACCCGGGTCCAATCAAGTGATCGAGGGTGGAAAGTGCCAAGTGGAGGGGTGCATGTTCCGATTCAAGTCACCGGCTACGTTAGATTACCATGGAAAATGTCACAACGGTGCCGCTACCGACGGGCATTCGGGAATGATCTGCCCGGAGTGCAAGTCAACGGAGTTCAGTAACTGGAACTGCCTGCACACGCACCTATGGCGCGTCCACCAAATCGATATGGAGCTTTACTGCTGCCAGCTGTGCAGCTTCAAGACCCCCATATATTCCCGATTGGTCAACACCCACGCCAAGATCCATTCCGAGGAGCGCAACTACAAGTGCGAGCAGTGCGGGAAGGGTTTCAAGAACACCAAACAGCTGAAGAACCACCGAAGGCTGCATCGCACACAGGGGTTGGGCATGGGGAAGCAGGCTCATAATCAGACTTCCAGTGATGCCAACAATGCAGTTCAGCTTCACCGCTGCGACGACTGTGGGATAGCCTTCAAGCAACGGAAAACGCTAAGGGAACATCTCTGTAAGGAGCGCAACGAGCAGTTGGAATGCCCCGAGTGCCAGCATGTTTTTGGGTCGAAGAGCAGCCTGCGTCTTCACATGCAGAGCCACCAGGATCGGAAACGCTTCCACTGTGAGGAGTGCGACTACGAAGCAAGCGATCATAACGCTTTCCGGCGCCATCAAGCCACACACAAGGACCGGAAACGCTACGTTTGTCCTCACTGTGATTTCCGAGCCATTCAGAGTACAGCTTTCAAGGTTAGTCGACTTACTTTTCTGCTAGTATTTTGGACCTTTGTTAATGCTTTACTTTCTCCTACAGATCCACCTGCAGAAGCGCCATCCCGAACAGGAACTATCCTCAATAATATACAAATGCGACCAGTGCACCTTTTCCACCATAAACCATGGTCTGCTGCTAGTTCACCAGGCTAAGCATGAAACTCCGAATCCCGTTCAGAACCCTGTTCCAACTTCAGCGGCTCCTTCCTCCCAGATTAAAGTGGAAACCAGTGCCAAGGTGGTGCTAGCACATTCCAGTAGAAGCGCACCAAAGGCATCACTGGCCATGGGCAAACCAAGTGGCTTACAGGCTTTCTGATTGTTTATCCAAAAGCTAGGAGCTGCTGAAAGTCCCAACAAAATGCTAACTAGTGTGTGTCGTCGACTTTTATACCAAATGTTAGTTTTAGTTCAATTTATGTGATAAGATGAGAGGAGATGTACATAAGAACTCTGAGGAAATTTGTTATTTTTTTTAAAACATGTTATGTTATCCGCTATTTTAGATCCAATGTTAGCTGGAATAACATATTGGAATACTTTATATTGCCCACTTCGGCATGTTCCGAAGACTATTTGTTTTCTTGTAAATATCAACCGTAGATGTTTAAGAATATTTTTTGTATGTACATATATGAAAATTTATGTTGCAATTTAATAAAATCATAAGGGGATGGTCTTTGCAAATGTTATTTCTTTACTTTAGGAGACCTAGATAACCTCGTTGAGGTAGAGTAGTACCCCTTTAGCTCAGATTAATAATATAGTATCATCTCTGAATGAATCCTGATCATGAATATATATAATACGTGTAATCATAGCTATGGAGTAAATTAAAAAAGATTAAAAATTGGTTTCGTTTTTGAAAAAATACTCTTTGATCGGACATGAAGATTAAGGATATACGGAAGCTTTTAAAATTTGAATTATAAATTTGTTTAAAGTTTAAACACTATATTTATTGAAGCCTCAAAAAAAGATAGAATATAGTGTATTAGATCAGTTCGTCCTGTTGTTCCACTTTACAGTCTGCATTAATAAAATCATGATGGTTTCGCTTTTAATTTCTTATTTGTATTCAATATTTTACGACTTAAATGAGGGGAAACTTTCATTACTTTCATACAAAAATGGATAAAGCTGCTTTGTTGTTAATTGAATATATTGTTACTTTGAATATACAATGAAAAAGAAACGAAAAAAGACAATAATTAGAGAAACTCTTAGAGGTAATAGTCGAGTCGAATAGATGGTTACCACGCGCTCCATGATTCCGATCGTATGGTAGTGGTAGCTTCAATCCTAGAGCGAGTGTCGTATGAAGGATAACCCTTAGTTCTACAGCAGGAAGCATTTGATATGTTGTAAAAATTTGTAAATATATATATTGGAGTTATATGCGCATTACTTAGTAATTTTAAAAATACAAATTAATTTAAATAATTAATAACAAGTGTTTGGGGGAAGAGGAGTAGTGTTTAAGCCGCCGCGTTTACTTTTGATTCGCTCATCATATTTAAGTTTTTTTTTTTTATTTATAGCGCAGTTTTGTCGTTTCTTAGTTAAATGTTACTTGGCACTCTATGAAAGTCTTAGTTTAGTTTAGTTCTATTTGTAATTAAGATAGTTCTTACAGTTCAATATTTTAATTCAAATCAATTGCATCTTGAGTATTTATAATTTCATTGGGTTCATGTGGAGAGTGTCATAATTTACATACTTAAAAATTATTCAACAACAATGAATGCTTTAATCGCACTAAATTTGGCTCTAACCCTAGTCAAATCCTCGGGATCGCAAGAGGGAGATGTCGGTCGGAAGAAATTCGAATTCGAATCTTTGGGTCAATGGAAGATTTCAAAAAAAACAAACATGAATTATGCCTCACAATTCAACTAATAACCTATTTGAAGGAATTTCCATAAAATGCATAACATACAAAAATTAGTCTCTCATTCCCATGCACAGGATTATCCACTGGACACCTCGCCTCTTTCCCGTCCTCTTACTTTCTGGCGCTGAAGAACATTCTGGCCACTTTACCCAGCGCCCCCACAAAGTCCCATCGTTCAGATGCGCCCGCGGATGAGCCCTCGTGCTGTGGCTGTTGGTGGCTGAAGTGCTGGTCCCGCTGGGACCACTGCGTCTGCCCCTGATCATCTAGCACCTAGGAGGGAGTGGAGTACCAACCGCTGGCGGGGCTCGTCTTGTGGTACAAGTGGAAGCTCGAGTGCGGCGCAAAGTACTGCGGCTGGTCCAGATTACTGTAGGTGACGCCGCCCTCAGTGGTGGTGCCGCTGGCTGACGGGTGCATGGTGGCCGTGTACGCCTGCGGTTTCAATGTAAGAGCCGCAGGTCCGGCTTCTACCGAAGGTGCGGCATACTGCCCCCTTAATGGGTCCGGTGCGTATTCATAGCCACCGTTCGAGGTAAGGACCGATGATACCTTTCCGGGCTGATTTGAATCCCGCGGAGACACTGAGCTTGGCGGCGTCATGGCATTGTGATAGTCAATAGAGCTGTGGTAGCCTCCGTAGGTAGACACCAGGTTGGTGAAAGCATCTGCGGAACTCTTCTGAATACCAGGATGCCCTCCCGAGGTAGTGGAATGAAGTTGCAGATACTGGTTTTCATAGGAGCTCTCGCTTCCAGGCGGCGTGGGCAGTGGGCCGGTTTGCTGCTCCCCATAGAAGACTCCCGGTCCCACTCCAGTCGGCGTCTGCCTGGCTGTGGCTCGAATCACGCTCTCCCGATTGGCATACAGCTGCCTCAGCAGAGCAGTGGCTGGCATCGCGGCCGGAGGCTGCTGGTACGGAGTGCCTATCCACTGTATTGTGCTACTCTTCTCGTTGGGGTCTATCTGCTGCTGCTGCTTGAGCAGCGAGTCCGTGCTGAAGTCGGTCGAGGGCTGGGTCACGGCCACAGCCACTGGCGAGGGTAGGTGCTTGGACATCGCTTGTTCTAGGTCCTTAACTGCCGATTCCGCCGAGGATGCCGGCTGCTCCTCCACAATGGATGGCAGTCGGCTCCGAGGCTGCTGATCTCTCTGTTCCATCGCTGGGAGCTTAGCAAGAGGTTGCTCAGAGTTCACTTGCTCCTTTCCCGACTCCTCGGCTTGCTGGGCAGTCTTAGTCTTCCGTTTCCGCTTTGTGTTCACGCCGCTGCCAGAACTAGCGTCGTTGGGTGTGGCCGATTGTAGGGGTGTTGCCACGGTAGTGGGTACAACTCCCACGGCGTCGCTCTCCACACCCAGTGGCGTGACATTGTCCTTAATCAAAGTGAGGTTATTCAGACCGCTTCCGTGGGAGGCTGCCGCTGTGCGTCCCCTGCCCCGATGCGGGTGTCCTTCCGAATCCGTTTTGGGGGAATTCAGCTTCATATCCCCGGCGCTCAGGTGCGAGTTTCCCTCACCAGCGGCATCTCCTCCAGGGGATCCACTGCTTTTGTCATTTCCAAGCCCCTCCTCGTGCTTAATGCTGTCCACACTGGGCTCCAGCTGGCAGCAGTCCAGGATTAAGTTTTCGTTTTCTCGGTTGCTACAGGGGGGGTGAGGTTTCTAATTAGTTTAATTCATTTGATTATTTATTTTTTTATTTAAACACATACCTGATCACGTAGTTAACGCAGATGATATTCTGCTCATCCGCATTCTTGGTGCTGCAGACGACGGTAGCGCAGGTCTGAAGCCAGGTGTAGCCTCCATTTTTGTTCATCAGTCGGTAGTATCCAGTTAGCACTTGTCCCTTTTCGATCACTGAAGAAGATTGGGAGTTAGGGTGTTAGGATTGGGAGTTACCATCAATGGAATTCTACTACTTACAATCTGTATGACTTTTCCGCAAGCGATTGGCATCCTCGGCATGGCACAGCGAGTACATACTCTTGTTGACCAAATCTTCCGGGGCATAGTCCAGCAGATCAGAGACCCTATAGGATAACATAAATCATTGTTTAAAAAAGGAAAGCTAATAAGAACTAAAGGCATGCTAACCTTGGTTCACAATGAGCCACTCGCAGGTCAAAGTTCACTCGAGTGACGAACATGTCACATTCCAGCCGGATTTCGTGGACTGAGGGTGGCGGTAGGGCGATGGCCAGAGCCACCATCCCAAGGAGCGGTGGCTGCGATTTTCGGCTGTGGGAGAAGGTGTACTGGGGACGCAGCTTGCAAAGTAGCAGAACCACCTGAAATTGTTCCAAGATGAATCGAACAAATATTTAGATGAGGTTTGCTCCAAAAAATGGCTCACTTAAGGAGCTTTCTCTAGGTGGAATAACTCAAAAGAATCTGTTGAATTTTAAGAATATGAATACATCATAAAAATCATGTTTAAAATTCTCAAAAAAATGATAAACACATAACGCTCATGAATCTTAAAAATATAATATTTCCGGAATACTCTAAGATCCGGTACCTAGCAATGACAAAAAAAAGGTATGCTTTAGTTGAGGAAATGACGTTGCGATGATGGATGGCGATGAAGGTGGTTCCGCACTTATTATTCGATACTGATCAATCCAAAATCAGTCAGTGGCATTGCCTTGGTCTTTTAATAAAACACAAATATTATGGCCGAAATAGAATAAACTTAAAACAAATTTTGTTTTCATTTTTTTTTTGTTTGAATTTTGTAAATAATTTTGGTAATTTTGTATTTAATTTTTTGCCTTGGATTTGTAGCATACGTACTGATTTCAATTGATACGTACCGAATAGTTTGAGCCCGGATTCTTAACATTTTTAGCATTGTTATTGTTACCGTTGCAATTGCTCGATGCATCGCTGGCCTGTAGATAAGCAGTGGATGGGATGATATTACGTAATACATAATGCAGTTAATGCCAAATAACACAACCGGGAATTGATTGTTTGGTTAGTATTACTGTTACTGGATATAGCTACTAGCTACAATTAAAATAAAACCAAAAATAAAGGTCGAGGCTGTATGGCCCTGGTAAGAAATAGGGTCGGGTGGGAGTCCCCTACTTGGCACAGTATGCAAAACGAAAATAAAATTAACAAAAATGATAATATCCCTAAGTATTTTGTTAGAACAACGAAGCTACACATGTTAGGATTAAACAAATAATATTAGCAAGGGCAACAAACATATAGAATCTAGGGGAAATGTCTTGTAACTCACCCGGTACCCAGATGACTTGAAATGACATCCACGTTTTGTGAGGGTAGACTTCATTCTCACACAGAAACTCCTATCATAGCCCTTGTAGCCACTGGTCGATGCTTGAGTCATGGAGGCAGCCACTGCAAAAGGTAAAGACATCACACATAGTACATAAGTGAAAGTCTTTCTTTCAACAAGTTGTATTCTTATTAAAACCTATCCTTAAGACACCATTCACTAAGATGAAAAGAATCCCATCCTGTTTCAGGCCTTTGCACCTGATCACTGTACGACTCGGACTTGACTCACCATCTGGATTGTTCGTACCGTGTGTGCCACTGCCGTCATCCGAGGCTCCGGAAGTGGGTGAGGCCATGCCCGTTCCAGCACCGACTCCCACGCCACCGCTGCTCGAGGAACCAGCTCCACTGCCACCGCCACTCGTCAGGCTGAGTCCAAGCTGCTCGGCGATCTCAGAGTGATCCGCCTGGTGGATGTAGTCAAAGATGCTGCTGCCGGTCATCTCCACTTGCGACAGTCCCAGGTAAATGGACACAGTCTCTGAGATGTACAGGAAACGTCCATCCCCCGCCACTGCCAAGGCGAAGCCATCGAGGGACTGTGGGGCACAAAAAAAAATAAATATAGATATCACTTTAAAAAATGGCTGCGGGTCTATGGCTATCCCTTTCGAATTATTCGGGTGTAGTGTCGTTTCTTTTTGGTTCGATGGTCTTACCTGAAGAATGTGGGTGCCCTGGTGTTGCTCAAACAAATCGACGGCGGGACTGCGACGGATGGCGGCACCTGGAAAGCAACAAGAGGGGAAATTAATAGCTGTGGAGGGGTGTGGTTGTTGGGTATGCAAATGAAGTCTCTTGAAAGTGCTCTTCAAGTAGAAAGTATTCCTTTAGTAAGAAATTTCAGCAAAATAATACGAATAGAAAAGGCCATCGAAATTCACGGTGTCATCCAGAGTTATTGCTACCCCTAATCGAGTCTGGTTTGCCCTTCCAACCTCCCAGGAAAAGACAACAACAACCGCAAGGCATCATAAATATAAGTCCTGGAGTTCAATATTTTCTCAGCTGATACCCCATTCGGATCGTATTTATTTAATTCAATTATAGAATTTTACGATTATGGCCGACTGACCGGCCAAGTCATAATTCGCACAAGTGCAAATCGCCTTGGCTGACCGCCTTGGATTGCCCTTCTCCTCTCCACTCCTCTCGTATGTCAAGTCCCCAGCGATTTCTAGTGCCCGGCGCGCTAAGTTGGCAAACAGTTTCCGCTTCCGCTCGAGCATTGCCATATGTGACTGCGGCCCATCCTTAACGACCTTCCAGCTACACCACCCACACCATCCCAACTGCCTTTTTGCGGCTGGGCTGTGGGTCAAATTGAAGTGCTTTTTATTGCCCCACAGCTTGTTGCTCCTCATCCTCTCGATTTCGTACCATCAGCCTCCGCTTTTTCTGGGTTTAGTTTCGCATAATAATCCAATTGAATGGATGAGGGCGTCAGTGCCGTCCATACATAACGCCCCATTGATTTTGGATTATTTTTTTAGTGCCTTGACTACCTTTTTCGTTTTGATGACCATGGCCCTTGCCATTTCTCTTTTCTACTTTGATAAAAAAAATGTTTCTCTTTGGAAATAAATATTCTTTTTATATTAAATCTTTGTGCTACAATATTGGACTTTATTGGCTAGGTAGGAAAGTTTTTAAGAAACCTTTTTTCAGTGCACGGGTAGCATTGACTTTTAAAACTGTCTAGGATTTGCAACTGGCCAAGTCGTGGGCTTATCGTAGCTGAATACCTTTTTTACTTGACGTGACAATGCATTCAGAGTCTCTGGAGCATGGCAGGCCAGACTGGGGAATGGAGGAGATAGCTTACAATTCATGGCTTACAATTGTGGACAATAAGTCATCATTTTCTACAGTAGAACTTGCTAAAGCGACGATGAGTCATTTTCTGGGCAGAGAGTGTTAAATAATTTTAACCGTAGTAATATAAAATTTGAAGCTTTTTATGGGAAAATATCTCTATTATTCATAGTATAGGGTCTGGTGAAATTCCCTATACTTTATATTAGAAATGCGTTTAATTTTTAATTAAAATTTTAAAAGAGAAAGAATTGGTTTAATGATTTTTAATGAGACTCATATTCCTAATAAACTTGTACTTAATACTAATCACTTCTATTTTTAAATATTATTTTAATAATATCCTTTAAATATCACTTACTTTTGAGCTTACTACTGCTGGATGCCTCTCGTGTCCATGGTGGATCGCCGTGTCCGGAAAAGTCCCTCAGCTTTAAATAACTGATGGTCAGTCTTATGATGGAGGCCTTGTCTAATTGGCTAGTGATGGCCGCCGGCAGGGGCAGCATCTTGGCTAGCTCGTAGAATTCGTAGTTCTCCTTCCCGCGGCGGGATCTCGCCGCATCGCGAGACTTCTCCTTGCGCAACTCTAGAATTCTGTCAAATATAAAGAATGGTTAGCTAAAGATTTTTACTAAAAAGCCGCAATGTCTATCCAACATAACGAGCCACTGATGAATGGCTGGAGGGAGAGTCAAAGATCTCTTTGAAATCGTTAAGCTGCAACGCGAGGTGGCTAGACTTCACACCTTTTGCACCTGTCATCGCCGGGTATTGGACCATTTGTATGGCCGAGCCACGGCATTGTAATGGAATGGTGTCAGCGCTAACTAATTGCCCAACATTCGTCAGCCCTTGAGACATGATGTGTGAGAGGGTGGTAAAAAAAAAAATGTTTGGATTTTCTTCGGGGACAATTGTTGGTTTTTTAATAAATGGCAGACGATTTGTTAACAGATTTTCCTTAGCCAAACTGTGAGAGAGCATTTCTAGCTAAGTATTTCCGTTGATATTTTTATTAATGTGGCCTGCACATCTTTATATCTCTGTGAAAGACCGCCACAAGAAACTATCTCACTTCGGAGTCGGTTATTTTTCTTAAATGCAAAGAAAACATTCATTCACTAGACTTGCAGTCTTTTCAAAAAAAAAAAGGCAGACGTTTCGAGCTTGAGGCCCCGAGATGTGTCTGGTTTTCGAGATGGAGCTGTTGGATATGGATATCTCAGCCCAACCTTCTGTGCTTCCGCTATCTGCAGGCGGTGATCTTTCTGATCATCTTCATAAGAAAACTTTGCTACATAAGTACATACATATAACCTTTATAATTTATGATTGTTGACAAATTCTTGATGTTGCTGTTGCTGTTGAGAGTGGAATGACAGTCGTTTTGTAGTTGCCCTATGCAACAAGATGGTTTAAATCCAACTTAATGCATTTCTTAAATTTCTTAAAAATAAAAACCTTTTAAAATTAAAAAAAATATATATATTTGTCTATAAACTTTGTTTTGGAAAACTTTACACTATCTTCTGGAAACGTAACTCGTAGCTTCGTAAATCTCAGCCCCATCTTGTCTCGGCTACAGGGCAATGAAGATTTGAATCTTGAAACCGACGCGTCGGTGCCGTAAGCATAAAAATATTTTAGGTAATTAAAAAGAAACAACGGCCAAGGCTTTGCCACGGGCCAAGCCAGTTTTCCTTTCATCCACTTGCTTTTTGTAAAACGCAAAACAAAAACAAAGAAAACAATTATAATTAATTGTGTTGAAATCGCGTTCAGTGAAATGTCCGTACCTGAGAGGAACATGCCGTAAATGACTTCCTAATAAAACCGTCTCCGTCGTCTGACGGTTCAAAAAACCCATGTGAGGCCTTCTCTACCAGATACCAAATAAAGTTTGTTGCTAAAAAACATTAATCTTTCCATAGTCAATACCCTAATGCCCGTTGAATGTGTTCTATCCGAGGGATGTGTCGAATAGATTAGAAGTTAGTCTACATTTGACAAATGATCTTTGTTTCGATTTCAATTTTGTTACAATTCGCCACTGTCTAATGGCCAATAAATTGTTTGTCATTTGCGAAAAATTCTTTGATTATCAAAGTATGGACCTTCTATTGGTGAAACCAGGGGCAAGGGGTCATCAAAAAAAAAAAACTTGGTTTAGAATCTTATGGGTTAATCTACTTTTTTCCAGTTGATTGCATCGAATGTGCAAATATTTTCATGGGATCCTGATCAAACTAGATTAGCGGATTACAGCGGCAACTATGAGGTCCCGAGGATCTAAGAAAGCATGTATGTTAAGCGGCTTAGTTCGGTCAGGGAAAACACTTCATATTTGTTCTCCGACCAAAATCAACGCAGAAAGAGGTCCTTCGGAGGTCTTTGTTGAATGTAAAGACATGCCAACGAACAAAGGTTCCTGTTTTTTGTTTTTTAAGGATACTGTTTAAATGTAGGGGGAATATTTCGCGGCTTTTTAGACATTTTTTTTGTGATTATTTTTGATCAAGTAACCTAATTGAAGTTGAATTATTTCAAAAAATGGCTGATTGGAAGCCATCTTTGGAATTGAAATTATTTTCACTAAAAAATAGCTTTCTTTTTTACGAAAATACGATTTCTTTCCACAATTTATTATCCTTTTTTTAAGCCATAGTGATCTCCGTACTAACCCTGGTTCAATGGGCTGCTGCTGCATGCCCGGTCCAGGCGGCTGCTGATGTCCTGGCATTTTGTTGTATGGGGGCATGGCACATAGGTCCTGAGTGGGAACCATCCAGCTGTGACTGAATGGAACCGCGGGCATACCCAGTGGTCCCATAGTGGCTGCCATATGAGAACCGGGATGACCGGGAGTGGGCTGGCGCTGGTATCCGGCGTAGTCCATGGCCACGGCCGCTTGATACGGCAACATGACGATTGGGAAATGGATTTATAGGATCCTATACAAGTTGGAAGTTGGACTTTTTGTTGTTGCTTTGCTTCCGGAAAACTCTGGTTTATAACACTAACACATTTTCACTTAATATTGCACTTGTTTGTTTTGATTCAAGATTGGGATTCAAGAGAGCAGGACACTCGCACTGAAGGTCGCATCCTCGAACGCGTGTGGTACGTGTCTCCAATTATCCTGCGAAAGCGGGTCGGGTCGGATGGATGGGGGGGTATGGATGCCCGATTCGTTACGGCTACAGTTACGGGTCACGCACTGCACGGCTGCTGCAGATCGGAAAACTAGCCGTCAATCGATTGACATTCAAATGAAGCGCGCTCGCGTCCAGTTAATTTATCTTCGGGCACTTGGCACGTCTCCGGGTTATGCCTACGGGCTGAATGTGCGACTGCGGCGGGAGTGAGTAGACCGAGACTTGCCAATTACGGACACGCACTTGTCCGTAGGGTATCGGGTAAGCTGGGTGATGGGTGATGGGAGCTGGGCGGGCAAGTGGGCTGCTAAAAAGAGTGAGAGAGGACACCCTTGCACGGCCGGGCAGCGTACGTGAAACTGCAGCTGATGACGTTGCGGGGCGTAAAGCTCTACGAAGTCGGAATAATGAATACGAGGCACGGAGTACTGTGTGCGGTACGTCCGTCGCTGACGACGAGTACGTGCAGAATAATCCAGAGTCACGTTCACGTCACCGAACAAAACCAAAGCAGGGCAAAAAGCAGGGAAACCTTTTGGTAGTGCCAGCAGCCGTCTGAGACAGCAAAGGAGAAAGCAGGGTGAGACCGCGAGCGAGAGCGAGAGGGCTGTCTTTATTTTCGGGGGTGATATAGCCAAAGCCGAAGCAGCGTTAAGCCGAAGTGGCATGCCGAAGTCACTGCCACTGCCTGTGGGATAGCGCCAGAGCTCCAAGTGAATAGGTAATAGGGTGGATCAACTATGGAAAATATATATTTCTATTTATATTTTATATTTTAAAATATTTTAACAAAAATTTATCCTTATTTTCCGATATTTCTTAAAAATTAAGGCCTAAAATTTTCAAAATAATAATTCAAAATGGTTACCCTACTGGCTGATAGTATGAACCAGTGTGGGTGAGGAGGACCTACCTGACCGCCTGCAAAGTCATGTGCCACCAGCGCCAGTAGCATTTAAAGCAGCTGCACGCTCTTTGGCCCCCACGCATCCATCCAGCACCCGCATACATACAGCTACATATAAGCACTCGACCCACACAACAAGAGAAACGAGTGTGTGTGCGTGCAAATGGGCGGGACGTGACACGGCGTCGAATCGGAATCGACATAGCGCGCATACCAAATGAGCCCCCGTCTACAACGAGAGAGTAAGCAAGACAAAGAAATGAGAGTGAACGAGACAGCTCCACGTACGTGTCCCTGCTGGTAAACTGGTTTGGTTTAGCGCCATCTCTTTTCCGTCTTGGAGCGACCACCATTATGTACTTCAGAAGAAAGAGAGGGAGCGATGGGGCTATTGTTTGGGGCTGAGGCACGCGCAGCAATTAGTTTACTTCTTTACACATTTGGGAATTCGCATGCCATCTCCCTCGTTCTCTCTCTCGGTCTCTCATGGAGATACTGTCCTGCTCCAACTAGCTGGGGGATATCGCGTTTTTATGTGTGTTTGTGTATGTGACCAAAATGCCAATGAAAAGCTGAGAAAATGAAGCCTACAACCGCTCCTGCAGAATGAACTCGAGCCCTTAACCTGAAAAGGATCAACGTGGAGGGGAGGAAGGGTACAGGTGATCCGGAAGGGGCGTTTTGTTATTCCAGGCTCGCACAGACGAAAGATGTCCCTTTTATGTACAAGACCCCCCTTCATCACACGAAAAGATAGCTTCCTTTTCATCTATCGGGATGGAGTTCAATCCTCAAGGTTGGATTTCTATAACCAAAAGATACAATAGCGAAAGACAAGTGTGGATTCCAACCTATTCTCGATTGAAAAGCACCAATTTTTGGACATTTAGTTTAGTTTGTTATTATTTTTAGAATAAATATGTAGACTTAAGTACATAATTCGTGGCCATGCGGAATCTTGGCCCAGGGCTACGTACATAAGCGTAACTGGAACATGTGTAGAATTCAAAACGTGATCGATTTCTTGAGAGAGTGTGAGCCAGATAGGAGAGGGGGCGACAAGTTGGCGAATTCTCCCACAATTACGGCGGGGCCAATTGAGAATTTAAAAGGGAAACGTGCCAAAGAGGCCGGGTCAATCGCATGAGAGTTAGAGGGGCAGAAGAGTGGACCCACCAGTGTCCAGGGGATGAAGTGCTGCAAGAAAGCGGTGCCTGGAGACAATAAAAGAGGAACCCGGTACCAGCCCTCGCCATAAAAATCGAACGTGGAAAACGTTCGCGCTTCCGGAATGAATGAGCGGATGCGGGGATTCATGGTGTGTAAGCCACGTCCACGTTCACGTCGAGACACCGAACAGACATCAACGCCATCATTACGTTTTGGTCATCATCATCCGCAAGCAGACATTGAATGCCAGGACTGGCACATGGTCGAGTTTTTTAGGCGGTAAAAATTTATTTTTAGTAGCAAAAAGTTTACTTCATGAAGCTTGTTTAAAAAAAGGACCAGCAGTTAGAATTTATGTAAATTTTTGAGAGCAAGAATTTTTAGGAAGATAAAAACATATTTTTTAGTATTGGAGAACGTCGCTGCTTTTAGTTACTTGTGGACCTTCTGAAGGATAGCCTATCGTCTTAAAGTCCTCTTATTTTTCTGTTTCTTAATTACCAACACATGTCATTATTAACCGCGTGGGTGTCGGAGACGAAAGGACATGAACTTTCTTATCAGCGAAAGTTAAACGACGTTAAAACGATTTAAATGAACAATTTTAGCAAGTATATTCCTCGTGGAATATAATTCGTGGTCAACTAGTCAGTAGTCAACTATTCTTCAATAGTTAATACATATTAAAAATGTATTATATTAACAAAAAGACACACAAATAACTTGAAGATCCTGCGAGCTATGAAAATATCGGAATGCCGAACTATCGAAGCTTTATCGACCACCGATTGCAAACAGTATGGCGGACAATGATAGGCCAGTCATAGACCATTAAAATTCCTATGCTTGGCCGGGCTTTAGAAGTCATCCTTAGGCCGATCTACGGAAATAGGATGTTACGGATATAAGACTATCTTATTATAAAGACTCTATCTAAGTATCTCAAGACTATTATCTTTTATCTCCTTTTTATCAAAAATCAAAAATTATATAATATATAATTAGCCGACATTTTTTGGCATCAGTAAGTTATAAACATAGAACTATACTTCAATAAGTTTCATCCTCCTGGAAAAAAATCATTTTATGGCAAAGGTCAACTCTCTTTAACTCGACGATTCTTACTAACGAGAAGTATACATACATAGGTATGAATGAACAACAAAATTATTATTAAACACCAAAATAAAAAAAATACAACATTTTTGAGGCGCCTCCAAAACTATCAATATACACGAGATCAGAGCGATAAGATAAGCCAGAAAGGAGTGGAAAGGAGCCTGGGAGGAAGCAATAAAATAACAACCGTCGCTGATCTGTCACCATTTCTCCTCTTTCCTTTTTCCCGTATTCCCTTTTTGGTATTCAGAGGCAGGTCAAGCTCACATAAAAACCAACGTGAAGTGATAAAATAGTTGGACAAAATGATTTCAAGGGGATTCTGTCACCGAGAAAAATATTCTGTAAAATGTGGTTTAAGACATTATAAACGAAGGAGGAACTAAAACTTCAATAAAAACCAATTGTATCTTTTTGAAAATCCCATTTTTTTAAGTGTCTTTTTCACTCGAAACAAGGTAGCAGGAGAATTTCATTATTATCTTGTCAGATCTGATGAGAGTTTTTTTTATGGCCTAACTGTTACTCGATTGTGTTACACAACAAAAAAAAAATCTATATGCTGGGGTACTACCAAGACCACAAGAAAGACTTGCAATTGAGCAATAAAACAACAGATCGGGACAAAGGGTTGGGGGTTACGACATCAAAACGAAATCAGAGAAGTGCAGTTCGGGAGCACGATCGTTATCGGAATGTTGCGTGCTTCCGATGAAATAATTTCTGAATGCTTTTTATGCCACCAGGTTTCATGGTAAAATGACTTTCTCAAACTTTAACAAAACTGAATGATTTAAGTCTAAAAAATATAGAATCAATTTCCAATTGTATTCAAGCTTTTCATTAAAAAGAATTATAATATCATACCATAAACACAACATTAGTAAGATGAAACCATCATTAATTTGGCCTTAATTTACAAGGCTAAGATTCTTCATGAAAATAAATCATGACTTTGCCACAAACTACCATACAGTCGCGAGCTGGAAGCGTGTTTCCCCAACATTGCACTTATGGCCCCGAAGTTGGCTAAAACAAGGAAAAGGAGCTCCGCAAAGGAGTTTTCTTGATAATAAGGAGGGGAATCGAGGGGTTGGAATTTGCTGCAAGTTGTCTGCGTCTTGTTCTGCTTCATTCTTGCTTTTTACCTTGTGTTTTTGTCAGTTCATCATTTTCGTTGTTCAATTAATTGCAGAAATCAATTTAAGAAATGCCACTTTTCCTCATTGCAGCATTACATTGCCATTGGTTTTAGTTGGGCTTGGTCCACTTGATCAATTCATTGGAAGCGGATTTGGCGTGGAATTGGGACTTTGCTAATTGCTACAAGCTGCGCTTCTTGAATCGCTGGCCTTTAGACCAGACCAGAACCAGAACCTTGTCTAGAACTTTTTCCCCCGATCTTGCTGGTCTTTTCTTGCTGGATTCTGTTTTTCTGTGGGTATTCTGCTCTTCTGATCTTCCGGCAGGCTAAGAAAAAGAGTGTGACAATGTGCGACAGCCTCGAGATAAATCCAATTAGTCCGATATTTGTACTTTTTATGTGAGAATTCCCATTAAAAATGTAAAATGTCATAACAAAACGAGAACAAGACAACAAGTCAACAAAAGGAAGACAGCTTACATCAAGCTCGATCATTGAGAATCGAGCCGCACTTCTATTTACACTTGTTTAACTCTTAATGGAATATAGCTATAGTTTCATTAAAGATATCACGGTATTTTATAAATTGTATTTACTGTAAAGAATCCATATTAAAACCTTCTATTTATTAGCCTAAACTTGTAAATTTCTGCTATAGGCCTTTTAACTTAGGGCCATAAACATTTTCATTGGCGCTAGAATTCTCTGAAAGTACTGATTCTGTATCTTTTCTAGAGTATAGATACCAAGTATCCCATATGTGCAACTTTGGCGTCTGTCGCGCCGATTGCTGCGACAACAACGGTCCAGTAAAAAGTGATTAGTGGCCCGCGAGGTGGACGGGATGAAGACGGCGATTCGACAAAGCGACGACGACATCTCCGGCATTCAATAATTTTATGCTAACAAATGCGAAGCTCAGTCGCGGCCGCCGTCTTCCGAGTCCAAGCCAAGTCAAGTGGCGCTGAAGAAGGGGATCTGAGTCATTTACGGTAACTTTAACACTTACCGCGCATTCACCGAGGACTGTGCAGCGCCGATCTCCTCTATAGATTTTCTGCAAGTTGGAAGAAAGCAACAAAAAAAAAAGATACATTTAAGTCCTGCTGTTGAATTCGATTAGCGTGAAGCTGTTATGGCGGGAAAAAGCTGTGGCATTTTTTAAATAAATTAAATTAGCCGATAAATGTCTCGGCTCACTTGTTGGTTTTGCTTACCTGTCGCCCCAGCACAAAGCATCCTCACGGTATCTGCAACAGAGATGTGGCCACAATGTTAGTTGGAATTACGAGAAAAATATATACAAAAATCCAGAGATTGAATTATACGTTTGATCTTAGTTAAGTCTTGGTTAGCTGCCTTAAGGATTCCTAAAGGTAGGTTAGGTTTCTTAATGTTTGGAAAGGTTAACCGGAAATGGAATCGCGAACTTTGCACATATGAAAATGAACAATCGGCGAAAATTATACAATAACATGCTATTATTGAAGCTTCAACTTTATAATCAAGTGCCAGAACCGATCTAAAATTTATTGATTTGTGCCTCGGTCCTTTCTCCACTTCCAAATCACCAGTCGTAAATCAAACAGAGTTCCCGCAAAAAGTATAGTTTGCAAGCCCTATTTTATGGTCGGTTTGTCTTTTCAAAAATTTGATATCCCTCTTATTCGTGGTTCGACGGATGCAGCCGATCAAGGTAGTAAGAAATGGTTTGGATTCAAAGGCAATTATCAAAATTGTAATTTTGGTTTCGGGTTTTTCATAATATCCTTCTTCAATTTAGCTTTGATTGACTTCTTCATCTACCTTTCCCAGCCAAAGTGACAATAATTACTATTGTAAACAATTTTTCAAAAAATCTAATCAAAATTCAATGCTATCCCTTGAGCAATGTTTAGTTTGCCCCCCATCCCTTTAGAGACACGTGTTCTTTTTAAATATTGGCAAGGAATGAAAAATAATTCGCTGGAAAAAAGAAGGGACTTAGAGGACCGCAGGAGACCCAGGAACATCGTCTGGTACTGCTATTTTTAAGTGTTGGCATAAAAGGCTTCTGCAGCAATGAGATGTCAACAACTCAGTGCAATGGAAAAAAAGAGAAAAAATCTCGATAATAACAGATAATTGTGTAGAACATAAGCCAACTATTTGGCCGTACTCCGAATCGAGATCCCTGGCCAAGAGCTACAAATCAAAGCTTCATCAGCCGATATATAAAGTTCAAGTGATCGAATCGATTGCCTGTCATGCCGCATCACTGCGAAAAAGAAAATATGATTTTATTATTTGATATATTTCGTTTTAAAATATTAGAGGGCGATTGTTGGTTTTTATATCCCCTTTTAAAAAATGCTCCGGAGATTTATAAACTGGAGATATATAAACAAAAAATGTGTGGCCTGGCATCTGAAATACATTTAAATAGTTTTTTCCGTGTGTGTTTTTCCAGTCTCTTGGCTTTTTTGTGTTGATGGGTTGTTCAGGCATCCATCGAACAATCGACAGACCAGGTAGTCAGCCAGCCACCGATTCCAGCGAGTGTCCCCGGTTCTTCAGGATCAGTGAACTGGGGGTATCAAAGGGGGAGATGCAGGGATCCAATACATCGTTGTCGTCGTCACTTTGATTGCGTTTCGTGCCCAATTAGTCTCAGAGCACTTGAGTGCGTAAAAACTCGTACCGCACCATAAATAAATTGGCATGAGGAAGACAGGAGCCAGCCTTCACCTGAACAGCACAGCAAAAGTCTTGCCCGTTTTCCCGTGGAGACAGCCTTTGTCGCCAGGACTGTCAATATAAGGAGCTTTAGGGTTTGCTTCTGACTTTTTTTTTTTTGGTTTGGAATAGGGGAAAGTTACATAAGGGTTGGCCAACCGACTATTAAGCGGTTATTCCTTAACTAGCCTTGTGAGGTTGGCATTTTTATTCTTTTGGCCATAACTATTATACATATATTTCATAATTGTATGGTTGGTAATAAGCCCTTTTAGACTAATAAATGCAGAAGTTTACCTACACTATTATATTTAAGACCCCTTTCTTGGGTGATGCTTTCATGGGTGAATTATTATAGGTTTAAGAGTCCTTGATGTACTACGTCTTCTAAGCTACCTTTTTATACAATTTTTTGATTCTCTTGAAAAGTATTTTGAGCTCAACTTTTTATTGTAGCTCATCGATTGGCCTTAATATAAAAGATTCGCTCTAAATTCCGCTGATCAATTATTGCCTTTTACTGAACCGTCTGCTCCTTCCTTTTTTTTGTACCCTTTCTACCTCCCCACCTGACTTGGCTGGGTTGGCCTTTTGAAATCCCAGACCGTTGACTGACCAACTGCTGATGAACTGATCGACTTCGACTCGGTTGGCCTCTGCTGATCGACATCAGCATCTGCAGCTATGTATGTATGTATATATATATATATGTATATATATCGGAGGCAGCAACGATCCCGATCCCATCCAGCTTGTCTTCTTTCCGACCTTGCAGCTTCTGCCGCTGCTGTAGTTATTGATGTCGGCAGGGAATCCAACAATTTCGAAAACTCCTCATACATATTTATAAGTTTGGCAAGCTTTTGATAAAAAAAATAAAATATAAAAGCCTTGCTCTTATAATACACTTTCTTTGGGTTACTCTTCCTGATTCTAGAACATAATATTACGTAATATTAAACATAATATTTTACTAATTTGAAGAGATTTTCTTTAATTTTTTTTTTACTGAGGGTAAAGTTTTTAAATAATAGGTGGATAGCTCAAAACAGAAATATTTAGAGAAAAGTGTTCTAATTTAGGGGAAGAACCCAATCTATAAAGCGATTTAAGCCAGTTTTTATTTAAGTTTTAAAGAAGGGTATCTTCCAGTAGCCTTTCTGAAATTCATCTCCCAACTTTATTTTGGTCGATGGGCATTAAAGAATTTTTGGGCTGGTACCTAACAAGTTTGTCTAAATTAATTGATCGCCCGGCAACCGAACTTCCTTCCAGCGGAACCGATCCCCAAAACAGCCCATCAAGCTCGATTCTTGAATATACACCGATTTCAGTATTGCAATGTGCAATCTATAGCTTTATGAATCGCAGACTAATCATCGGGCTAATCCCGCATTTGCTATTCCTCTCAGGAATTTGTACTTTTGCACTCAGCGAGCAAAAAAAAATAGCAGGTGGGGGCTGGCGGGTGGCCCTCGCCTGCCCTTATGTGTGTGTGCGAGAGCGGTGCACTCACTCCTGCGTGTGGTGTGTGTGTGTGTGCGTTTAATGATTGTTATTGTAACACGGCATGAATTTCAATTAATTTTACGCGCTATCACAAAACGAACTTTGGACGGAAAGGGGATGGTGGAGGAGCAAGAGGAGGGCGAGGCGGCGGAATGGGGCGGCGACTTGTCCTGGCGTTGATGAAATTGTTGGCTCACTTTGAGTTTGCCGGCAGCAAGGACATCCCCCTCCCCCCGACTGAAAATGTGTGTTGTCTGCATATCTATGTAATAGCTTTATGCCTGCCTACCGGGTGTGTGAACATCAAGCTCATCAGGCTCGTCAGCTCCCCAAAGAAGAAGAAACATCCTCCATAAGATACATCCTCTATTGACTCACTAAGAAAAATCTTCTACAGTAAAGAATAACGATTGTCGTAATAAATCTAATTTAAAAATTAATAGGATTATAAATACATAAATCGATTGCCTGAAAATAATACTCCCGGAGAACATTATTCCACCATTACTTCCTCGGTTATAGTAGCTACAGTGTAGTAGTAGTAGCGTCTTTATCAACGTCAGGAGCCACAGGCGGCAGTGTAATTTGCTCGTTTGACTGCAACATGAAGCTGTCGCTCCTGTTGCATCTTCAGAGATGACGATGCTAGTGGGTGGAGTATTGAATGAAATTGGAAGAAGGTGGCAAGGCAGGAGGCTCAAAACCACCGGGGTAAGGCCAATCTTTGTTCGATGAGTTCGTCCTGCTCGAGTGTTGCTCCAGCGGCTGATTTGCATAATTTAATTGATTGTGACGTCGGCAGGGGGATAGCGAAAGATGCCGCATGGGAACCACCGAGTCTCTCAACAAGTGTAGCCCGTAATGTGTTTCAGGTGGGGTTCGGGTAACACCTTCGCAGATCGCTGGACTGGATCGGCTTTCCTTCATTATCCGAATGGGATGGGTTTTTGATGGAAACTTCTGATTGATCGAAAATCGGTGGAATGGTGGCAGCCCAAGAGGTGGAACGCCTTTGTAATGAAGTTTGGTTAATTGGAAGCTGGGGGTTTTGTAAGCCTTAAGTCATTTAGTTTGTCAGTTACCAGTTGGAAACATAACATAAATTATTATTATAATAGGGTTCTTTATATTCCTATTGGCTGGGGTTATCTGAAAGTTGGATTATAAACGTTTTCAGTTTCTCATGCGTATGATCATATATACATATATGTATGTACATCCATTCCCATCAGTCTGCCTGGTATATTCCTGACTCCACCAGAAGAGGGATTCGACATAATCGCAATCATAATCTGCTGCGTTTTATTTCATTTTCTTGCGCTGAACTTTGTTGTTTGTTGCTTTTGGTCTTTGTGCCTGTTTCATTTTGCTCTTTATGCTTTACAACAATTTTTTAATGGCCGTCTTGCAGAGCTACTAAGCCCCGTCTACTCCCGACGCCGATAGCCCCCCTTCTGACGCTCATTTGGAAATCACTGGGCATTGAAGTCCACCAATCACGTTCCATATATAAATTGTTGAAATGATGGTTTTTCACTGCACATTTTGCGGTGTTACCGTTCTTTGGGATGGGGTCTTTAATCCGAAGGGGGAATAGGGGCTCCGCGCACCAGAGGCGGGCTGCATTTGGGTTGTCTTCGGGTTGGCCTCGAAAACCACAATGAACTCGAATCCTCATCGCTGTCCATGAAAAATTGTTTGCGGAGAGCGCTTGTGCAATGAAAATGCTATTCGTGCTCATGACGCCAAACAGCAACAAAGTCGTTGGCCATAATGAAAACCAAGCGTCCCTTCAATTTTCCAGTTAGGTCAAAACTCTTATTGCTAAATTTCATAGACTCACCATCCCACACCCACCGTTTCTCCCAGTGTATAGCCAACTGGAAGAAGGTATAAAACCGAAAAAAATAAAATGAAAATAATGGGAAAAAGACCAAAAAGTCACAGTTTACATTTCTGTATTCCCTCGCCCGTACCTCCGAAGCTTATTTCTTTTAATATTACTTTGGGGGCCCCACTTTCTGCCGCTCCTTCCGTCTTCTGGGTCTTCGCCAATATTCGCCAAGGTAATAACTCAGGTGATTATAGTAATTATGCGTTCTGACGCGATCCAGCCACGGATAACGCTATTTCGATATAATTGAAAAATGCTGATAGACGCTGATTGTGTGAGCTGAAAGGTTGAAGCCAGTCCGGAAAAGGGAGGCCGAGGCAAAGCCAAACTACGTCCAACTGGCGTTGCAACGAGATGCATACGTTTGGGATGTGAGTGAACCGTAACCGATATGTAAAATTGGCAAAAGGAAAGAAACTAAACCTCAACTAAATTTAATTTAAAAAAATATTTAAAATATTTAAGCTACAACTTAACTTTGGAAAAGAATTATTTTTTCCAACCACTTCATACATAAGGACTTGTAGGGCTGCATAGTAACCCATCTCTAGTCTTTTCTACTCTGCCGAAGCCCATCATAACCTCATGCCACTGGTAGCCGGAGCTTCTTGAGTCCCAGGCACACCAACCTTGGCTCCTCGCCTGGCCACCAATCAGAGATCATGAATTACATCGCCATTGCAATATTGTTGTGGGAATTCCCAAAAGAGGTCTAAGCCGCAGCCTGAGCCGCAGTTGGATTGCCACTTTGACTTCACGGTTATGGCGGCGAAATGTTCTTTGATGCCGATTTAATTTTTCGATATTGAATATAACCGTGCATTATGAAAGATTTTCAGAGGCTTACAAGACGCAAAAATACTGCAAAAAATAAGGAAAGTAAAGGAGGCCTCGTGGCCTGTAAAAAGCTCACAAGTTATCTTGTGGAAAATCAACTGAATTCGACAGACGTTTCTCGTTCACCTTTGGGCCGAGGCAGGATTGTTGAAAGTGGTATTGTCACGTAAATTCAATTAACTTAATTATAAGATTCATTGATGTTGGCACCTCTGTAGTGCTTTTATTTTTTTTAAGAAAAAAAAAGAATTATTTTGAAATTAATATATTAAATTTAAAACTAAGGATGGGCTTAAACTTTTTATTTCCTAATATCCTTATAAGGTTGCAGATTTTGAAATATTATCTTCTTTCCCAACATCGATGTATTTTATGATCAGTGTGTCTGTGGCAGATTTAGTAGCGTACCCCATTGGATGACACATTGGCAACGCCCCCAAAAATTTGCATACTAACACCGAAGAAAGAAACAGAAAACGGTAGTGCGAAAGAGAGGCATCGCGGTGCACCGGAATGTCGTTTGCCTGTCATTTATTTACCTGTAGTAGGGGAATCCTTGCGGCACATGCAGATCCATCGGCATCCCCCCAGCGGCGCCTAAGTGCGGGTGGTGGTGCGGATGCGAGTGTGGATGTGGGTGAGAGTGCGAGTGGTGATGATGATGCGAGTGGATGGGGTGGTGCATTGAGTGGTTCTGGACATGCGCCGCTGCAGCAGCGGCAGCAAAGCCGGCGTCGGGCGTCATCGAGTGGTGCCCCAATACAGCAGCCCATGGCGAGGGCACGAATCCACTGCCGTGGTGCTCCATAATGTCGCTCCCTCTCTCTATATGTGGTAATCCGTATGTGACGTAGGGTCAATCGATTTTAAGTTCGGTTGTTGCAGGACCAATTATAATGTTCAGAGGCATTTGATATTAAATTGTTTTTAATTTGTTATTTTCCGGTTTTTGAATTAGCATTTAAATACATGTTTTATTTGTATGGTTTTACATCTTACATCCACCTTTCTTATAATCCAATGATAAAAGGATCACCACTCGATTTGATGGGAAAATTTTACCTTTGTGGTAATACAATTTTTATTCAGAGTACTTGTCGTCTCTGGACCCACCCTAATATCTATATATATGGACGTTTATTTACGGCGATAGCTGCCAGTTATTTATTTTTGATTTTATGTGGCAATACACAAACACACGCACAGGGCAATAGCACTTGGGGAATATATAGAAATATTTCCGCACATTCCGTTGGGGCCAAGATGGCGGCCATTATTTACCGTTAGCGCGCATGACATTTGGAGAATTTCGGGAGTTCGGAGGGATTCGGGAGCTTTAGACCCCACAGCATCACAGCATCCCTACCACAAAGAACCGACGGCAGACGAACCAAAGCTGCAGTACAAAAATGACGGCACAAAAAATAAGGCGCGAAAAATAAATACCCAAATGGTGTTGACTACTTCGGGATTGGAACCTGTAGGATATATGTAGGATGCAGGATATACGATGCGAGCGGCTACGAAATCGGATTCGGATGCAAAGAAGTTGGAGCATGAGATGGAGTTCCCCCGAATTTCTTTTCGCACGTTCTTGGTCCGCGTTCACCTCTGCACGGCACGAAAATTGGCGATAAACTATCGCCTCGCATCAGGAAACATGGTCGGTCGCCTCGGTCGTTTGGCTGTTTGGTCGCTGGTCGGTTTTGTTGGCTGGTTGGTTGGATGATGGTCCGAACTCAGGGGCTGAGACTCCTCTGGTAGCATCGTCATCATCGGCATCGGCATCTCATCGGCACTGCATCTGCGAACTTGGCGCTCGTCGCACTGCAAGTTGCAAATGGTGGTGGAGCAGGTTTTTGGCCTGGGAGAGCCCCCAAACACACACACTCACCCGGAGCTCCCAGGCTCAGTTTCTGACTCTCCAGCATCCACACATCATTATATTTGGCATTTTGTTTTGGATACTCTGGCTTTTCATCTCGCCAGAGAGTCGGTGGCAAGAGGCCCTGCCGCCACACATGTGTTTCTCCAGCTAAGCGAGCTCACTCTCCGTTTCTCTGGAGAATTGGGGAACGCACAACACACTTGCTACGTTGTTGCGGGCGCGATAAGACCTTCTGGGGGGAGTCATTTGATGCCTTTATAGGGGATTTGTCTCAATATGGTAGGGGAATATTTTGCAATCATTTTTTTAAAAGAATTTTCAAGAGATTTAACTAATTTTTTCATTAACAGAAAATAAGTTTTCAAAGCTACAATAATTCTTCTAACATCCTAGCTACAGTTTCAAATCCACAATAGCTCTTAATTCAATAAAATCACTTAATAGAAGGAACTTACTTGTGTATTCTTCCCTATGATTCTTCCCTATGCCAAAGCATCTCCCTGACCTGTTCCCTAACAAAACATTTATGACGACCTTTATTTTCATTCCCATATCATTCCTCGACGAGGGACGGTAAGGGGTGACAACTTAGTTAAATAAGGCGCCACCTGTCAAGTGATTTTCAATAAAATAAATTCGTGATTACACGACAATATCGAATCGAAAAATCCGAAAGATCAGCAGAACAATAACAAAAGACTCCCACGGGGAACTCTGCCTCCTTTCATTCCTGCCATCTCCTGCCATCCAGCCACATTGCACACGACCTGAGCTTCGGTTTTGGCCCCCAGCCCAGCTTCAGGCTGACAATCCCTAGCACATACAACTCCAACTTCTGAATCCCATTCGTGCAGGTTAACGTCAATACTAAATTTCGTCGCCGTTCCTACTGCCCATCCTTGCGACTGGATGGAGGGTCTGTCCGCTCCCCTGTCGCCGGTCGCCTGTGGCCTGTCGCAGTGTCTGGACTTGTTTACAGTGTGCAAAAATCATTTGGACAAGTTGACAAAAGCTCGTTTGGAACGTGAGTAACAAGAGTCGGGCCAGCGATTCGAGACTCGAGGCACATGTGCCAAGACCTCAGGCTGCCGGCCTGCCGGCCTGCCTGCCTTCGGAATCGGATCTGCCCATTTCGTTGGTTGCTGTTTGGGCTTTTTGAGGCATCTGGAGAATCTGAAGTCTTAATTCTAAATATGGAGTGTGCTGCTTTGTTACTTAGCTTCGGCCCAGTTGCAAAGGAGAACGAATTTAAAAGATGCCATGTCCCCTCACTACCGGCTCTGACCTTTGACTGTAAATATGACTGGTGGCGAAATGTATCACAGAATGCGACAAAAATTAAGAATTTAAGATGTGTGTTTTGTTAGAATGATATCGGGAGAAATATCCGTATTCCTCTATGCGTCATGTGAAAGGAGCTTTAAGTTGTAATTTTGAGATAAAAACGTACAGAAAACGGTGAGGAGAAAATATTTGCCGCTGTACTGTAGCACGTGACGGGCATAACCGAACAGTTGGGGATTGAGAGCATTAGGAAGGTGAAAACTTAACGTCGAGATAGGAATCCTTACAGAACTACCCAGAACGAAGTATTGATTATTTCTCAGCGAAAGTTTAATGAAATTTCTGATGGTTGGCTCTCGCATTTAAAAAGTCTGAAGGAAAACTATGCACTGATTGATTTACTCAGTGAGCTTGACGGGTTTATCTGAACCGATCGGGGAATGTGGCCTTCTCATACTGATCGGTGTGATTGATTTGCTAAATGTTCGTCGGAATGGAAATTACGAAGAACCAAGCATAACAAACGAATAAATCGAGTAATTCACTCTGAACCCCTGCGATCCACCGATCCAAACTGTTTTTGAGGGGGTACGTGTTCGTCATATTAAGATCCCCTTTATTTTGCAGGTTGGACATTAAGATTACACTAAAAATAACAATCCTAACAAAACAATTGAAGAAAAGATAAAATAACAGTAGTGCCAAGAGGGAACTATTTCATGTATTGAAAACTATAAGGCATAACTTACAAATTTATTAAAAAGAATATATATTTTTTTAGAGTGTCTCAAACAAAAATAGGTTTGTTTTGACGCGTATACTTATTTTTTTGGCAGTTAGTGCTGTGCATTTTAAGTAACACACCTGCCGAAGACCCTGGAACTCTACCATTTCGTAGAATTCGTCGATATTTATGACTCTCCGTTGTCGGCTCGTGATTTCTTGGATTTGCATAACTGGGTCTCACTACGGACCTTACATGCTTAATTTGTACCAATAAGATTGTCACAAATAAAAAAACTTTCGACGCCCTCGATTTCAAAGAAAAAAAGAGAGATGGTACTTTTCCTCATTTTGGGTATATTTGGGGGTTGACTTTTGCCGGCGGAAGTTGTGCGGTCGAAAAGGAAGCCGAGCTCGAGATTGAGTTTCGTGATATTGATTTTTCCGGGAGCTCTCCCCGCCGCTTCGAAGACGTGACTGGAATGGTCAGTAGTCGGTCCTCTGCGTCGCCCTTTTGGACATGAGGCACCGTCTTAAGGCACCGGACAGTATGCAAAAGTTGCACCTGGAACGTGTGAACAGTTTTTAGCAATTAACTGACAACTAACGATGGCCAGCGGAGGCAACGAAGTCAGCTCCTTCTCTTAAGATTTTCCGCAGCCGAACGGCACGCGGCGTCATGCCGTCTGGCTAAAATGGGATCGGTGGATTCGGGAGCCGCGGAAGCTTCAAGCGACTTGCCCCAAACATTCATCCTAATTGGCGTTCAATCTTCGACTTTGTTTGATTTGCATGCACACGCGATGTTACCCAGCGAAGTCGCGCTCTAGCTCCGAATTGGTAGCCCGATGGTCTTAAATTCCAGTTTAGACCATCTATTACAGTACAGTGGTATTAATGGATAAAGATATTTCTTTAAAAGTATTGCTGGGATTTTTATGGTTTTATTTTAAATAATAAATTTCGTGGTATAGCTGCGAGAAATGCAATAAAATCATAATGTTAGTTTTAAAATAATATTTAGTGCCCATTGTTCCGCATTGTACTGTGGTTGAAGCACAGTGCCATTGTCGGCTTGTCTAATTAACATTTTTAATGGCGAATCCTTGTAGAACAACCTTGGGACGCAGCAGGCAGAAGAACGGATAGGGAGTGTGCGGTTTGTTTTCAAAAGATTTAGCTTGAGCTGTGACAATGTAAAATGTTTTTCTTTAATTTAGAACCAATGCGTTTATAATTTATGCCACAAGCCTAAAAAATATAAACGGAAAAAGAGGCCACATATTTCAAAAAATTAGCTGTAGGATTTTTGACTTATTTAATTTGAGATTCCTATCTATGGGCTGCAGAAACAACCTTAAGAAATCTCAAAAGAATCAGCCAACATTTGAGGGTCAGATTTGTAATAAAGAAATATATCATTCGACCACGATATTGTTTAGACAGATCGTACATTATCGCCAGACCCTATCCTTGCTATCTTACTGCGCGTGTGTCCTTCGAGCAGGTCTTTACCGTTAGACTCACTTTCTTGGGAAAGGACCATAATGTCATAAATTTCATAAAGTGTCAAAAGGAACACCTGAATCTGCAGGACATAACCTCTTACCAGGACCTTACTTTCGGTTTCCCTGACTTTTCCCTTATGCGTTTAACTGTTGTTGGGGCGTTTGCTCTGTTTTATCATATTGTGTAATCGCAACTGTGAGAAGTATCTCGGGATTCTGGGTAAAGAATCCCATATAGTTATATGGGAAAGTAATTCTTTGGCCTCATCATCAGGTTGACAAATATAGATAAAAAAATATTTTGAAACAAACATTTATAAATAAACTAGATAAGCAATATTATTCGTATTCTAACTATTGCTAAAGTATTGATTTTTGAGTCCAACCGAAAAAAGGGTTCAATGCACCGCCCAAAAAAAAAAAAGACGGTCCAAATTTTCATCTACCTGTTAATAATTTATGAAAAGTTTTATCGCTTGCCGCAAATAAATTGAGAAACGGCTCCGGCCACCCCCTTTTTACGATTGAT